CCTTTCTGGATATTTCCCCTCTGTCACTGGCAATAAAGCTTCCTTTGCAATATATGTTTGGTCTGTGTCCTCATGTTGTTGTGAGTAATACCATTTCTTAAGGAAACACTTATGCTCTACAAGTGAGGAGGCTATACTTACAGTTCAGGTGCTGCACAGTGCACATTGGTTCCAATGCATGAAGCGATAACCGTATGGTGATAATATTCCCTCTGCTTTGTTCGTAGCTTTTATTTTATGGTGTCTGTCTTACATGTTAACAATGTGGAATTACTGTACTTGTGTCCGATAAGTTAATTAATAAACCAGTGATCTGTGAGAACATGCAAAGCTACTTATACTAACATCACATTTGAAACTGTTTCATTCATCATTCTGTCTTCATAGCTTCAAGTAAATTATGTAATAATGTGCTGAAATTAGGAGCCCAAGGATTTCTTTCACAAAGGCCTGCTCCGAAGTTGACACTCAAATTTCCTGCAGAGGATGCAAAGGAAAAGACACACAAGGACTTCCATAGCTGAAGTAAGAATGAATAACATAACTCACTTGTGAATTCACATACACTCAGTGGCCACTTTAGTTACACCTATGTAATTAAATGCAATTAAATACAACACCTCTACCACACCTCTACCAACATTTATAATGTTCAGTTTTGGGTGACACTGTCAGAAAAGCACAATTATATGTTTTTACTGAGGTGTTGTTGCACTGGACTACATTATACTGAGGGGTGTTTCTTTTTTTCTCCTTCCATTTACACACATGTGGGGGACACAGAATTAGAAACTCCTCCATGACAGTGTCAACACTAAAACATTATAAGCATCATAAAAGTAGAGTGTTCTTTATAAAGTGTCCACTGAGTGCATATCCTGACTAACTCTGCACATACAAAGTAATGATCCTCTTGTCTTCCAGCAAATTCCCGTCCCTCATCACTGCCACTGAAGAGTGAACGATGAGACCATTCTCAATTTCAGGAAGTCGAAGTTTGTTTAATGAATAAATGTAGCTTTATTTTCAACCTATGTCAACCCACCTGTACAGTTGCTTAGCTATACAAGAAATAGTGACTATCAAAGTTGTGTTAATGAAACGATATGTAAAGGTGTAAGGTGAACGTCTTTTCAAATAAGATGTATACCCACTCTGTGTATAATGATGAATATTTTTAAATTTGTGATTGCATTGCTTCACTAGAAATGTATATTTTACTTACAATAACTATTTAATTACAATAATTACCAGTAATACAGTGATACGCTTAGTTATGTATGCCTGCTACTCACCTTCAGAACAGTTAATAATGCATTGTTGTGTTTGCAAAATTGTGATTATAGTGATTATCAATAGTAAATACTATGTACTAAATAGTGTTTGTAGTGGTTATTTTTCTATCTATTTCTTTTCCTATCTATTTCTAATAATGTTTACTTTAGACCAACTGTGATGACTCGCTGGACTTAAATTATAAATGTATTTCGTCCTTGCTTTAAACTTAAAGTAGTTGAGTTATGAATGTGAACAGTTCTTCTTGTGATTTAAAGTCCAAGTTATGAGGTGAGATGAAGCAGAAAATGCAAGAAATCAAATTTGATTAACTTTTCATTCAAATAACGACTGTATGACAGAAACATTTTATATTACATCGAGACAGGTCTATTTTATTGGGCACATTCATTACCAACTTTTAACGTTTATTAATCATTCAGGTTTGATGTTTATTATTCTCTTGATTGCGCTTTCTCCACATTGAACAGTATCTCAGAAAATTATGATAGGTGCTCAGAGAGCCCATTATGACATTATTGGTTCGGTTTTATTGCTTCATATATTTTTTTGCCTTTGAGCTATACTGCATCAGTCAACTGTTGACAGTATTACAATGCCCCACCAAACCTTAATTTCTTCACCTTGGAGACTTTGTGTCACCAAACAGTTCCTTCTATACCTGAGCTACCTTCTAGCTATCAACATATGCATTTATTATCAAGTTATCATACATGGAACACTCCTTATTCTTGCACCTTTTTGATGTTTTTGCACCACAATGGGTTGATATACAATTGATATGTATGATTTGAATCTATGAATATGCAAATTTCTAATCAAATTACTTCATTAAAAAGGTCCAATCTCATTGTGTGTGCACTTGAAGCTTTAAGTTCCCATGTCACACTTTCATGAGTTGCATACTGGACCAAGATTGACTAACAAATTAGCTGCGATGTCACAAGATCTTGGTCATATGACATGCACATATATCATTCTGCAAAGAGAAGCTCAAAGACCAGATAATCTGATAAATCCTGTATCTCTAGTTTGGCTTTTTTAACTGACACAACGCCCTGGTGTGCTCCTCCTCTTGTAATTCATGACAGGAGAGTTCTGGTCAGAACTTTGTTAACTGCAGACAGCCATCAGCACTGTAACACTGTCTGCCTACAAATGTCCCATGAGTAATTGGCTGCAGAGACCCTTCTATGTCCTCGTGGGAGCATACATTTGCTGAGGAGTCTAATATACTGCAGCTAGATGACTGTGTATCTGACATCACATCTGTTATTTGTCTTAGAACAGCAGATTCATGTTGTTTTCTTTAACAAATATCAGCAAACATCTCCCACTGATAAAATATGCTCAGCATTATGTATTTGTAAGGCTTCCAGATGGTACTGATGTTTTTTTTCCCTCATAACAAGCAGACTGACCTGGTGTTAGTAAAAGCCACTGGAGAACTCAGAGGAATGACACCGTGGGCCCTGAAGATTCAGCAGAGGAGCTTCCGTCTAGACTCCTCCCAGCTGTCTGCCAAGCTGCTGCACGACATGAACAACTCGTGCCCTGTGGGGGCACGCTGCACTGACCATCTGCTGAAGAACACAGTGGAGGAGTAGTATTTCTATCCCATAATGAAGGAGAATGTCAAGGTGATGTGTGATAAACACAGGGATCATTGAATGTCATGTAACGCAGCTGATTATTATTTAGAACATGACATAACATGGTTTCTTTTTTATTATTTGTTAGGTTTACTGGTTTAAGGTGGAACAAAACAAAATAACACCATCAACATTGCTGCTTCAATATCTTACATACTGGAGACAACCCGGTAGTCACACAGAGCTTCTTGTTGCCATCTGGTGGTGGAGTTGAGGAACAACTTGCGAAATCACAGCATCAGTGTTGTTACGGTTATATAATTAGCCACTTGAGCTGCATGAGTGTGCCTTCACTTTGTCACAGAATTTAAACAACCATTGAAATGACAACAAACACACACACTTTGCAACTGATTGTCTTCATGCTCAAGTCTGCTGCCATAGCATCACAGATGAAGATGGAGGCCTTATATTGTAGGCCCATAATACTGGTGAATATCAAATCGATGGGGTTTTATTACCAGATAGAGTAGGAGGCCGTCTTGGCAGAGATGAATTGATCGAAGAGCTCCTATTATAGATTGGTGCACCAGGTTGTGTCAAATCGCATTAGTTTAATGGTAAAGGAAAATGTCTCTCTCTCTATTTGTGTTCTCCAGTCCAGAGCAGTGAGAGCTGCCCGTTCGCTCTGCCTGTGTGCAGTTACTCAAATACTTTTACTTAAGTGCAGTTTTGAGGTACTTATGCTTTACTTAGGTATTTCCATTTTCAGTTACAGAGACAAATATTCTACTTTATTTTTAGGATCAATTTTACATTAAAAACATATGATAAACTTATGAAATACAATGCAAACTGTATGTAAAGTAGTAACTCCACCTCAAACAGCTTCAACAGTAAAATGGAATCTATGCAGTGTAATATTGTCATTTATGATAATTTCTCAGTCACTATACTATTGTACTTTCATATATATATATATATATATATATATATATATATATATATATATATATATATATATATAATTATTTTATTTATTTGATAGGACAGCTCAAGATAGACAGGAAATGGGGGAGAGAGAGGGGATGCAGCAAAGGACAACAGGTCGGACCCATCGCTGCTGCAAGGACTCCTGCCAGTCCAACAAAGTGAGCTACCAGGGCACTCCATACATCATTACTTATTACTTAGCTAGTGTTTTGAATGCAGGACTGTTACTTGTAATGGAGTATTCTTCATTGTTGTATTGGAATTCTTCTTCTGCCCCTGATTATTTTGCAGGTCCTATGTGAAGAAGGCTGACGACCATCACAGACAACCCCCACTAGATGGAGCTATTAGGTCAGGCATGTTGGACATTTGGGCTGTTGGTTTCATTTTGGGCAGCCTGTGTGGCTTGTCAGAATGCAGAAATAGAACAGATAAACACATATAGCAAAACTGTTGTTGCCGCTGCTGTTGACATCAGGCATATTTTACCCTGTGATGGGGCTTTTTGAGACACGTGATTCAAATAAGATAAAGAACTCAAAAAGCTTCCATCATGTTTCTTGCCAGGGGCTCAATTCAAAAGGACCAAAACAAAAAACATTAAAAAATACACACTGATTCCCATATTTAGATCACAGCAAATATTCCCATATTTACTATAAATTTGCACTTGGGACTAAACCAAGTGAAGCGGCCCTGCCCAGCAGGAACTACATGTTGAATGTTTACACTAAAACAAAATATAACTGTCCACTTTTTCCACCACATGTCCCTCCCTTGCTGAATGATTGTTGTTCCACTGAGCTTGCCAGTGGCTATGCAGTGTACAGTGGCATTAGCCAATGGTGGAATCCCCTGGTGGCGTGTCTGGACTGGATCCCCTGTGAGGTTACACCACGTTGCCACTGCTACAGCAAACATTACACCCTGCCACAAAGTCTTGCACATGTCTGGGATTTTACTGTGTTAGTGAACAAGAAGAGAGGCAGTATAATCTGATGTCAACCGCCCACCTCACCTACTTCCGTTGCTACTTAAGTTCCACTGATCTACAATATCAATACAACATACAGTGACTACTCAATGTTCTTCTACACTAAGAAAAAAGATAAACGAATCTTCTTTGGCAAAGAAATTTAACTTAATTTTATTAAAATATTGAATAGACAACTTTCTCACCAAGTTCACAATAAAACGTTTAACCTCTTGAAAGAGACATGATAAACACATACAAATTAGTTTCCAAATCATTTTAAATATTTAAGACAACCGCCAAATGTCCAGCTCTTGATAACCTTCCCCACGGTGAGGACTGATAAGAATGTGTGTGTATCTACAGATCAGTTTACTCAGAGCTATGAAGCCAATGTGTAGACTGTTGAAACATAACCATTGCTTTTGCGTAAATGTGCAAATTCAATTTTTCAACCACTCATGCTCACTGTCTGATAGGGTATAATTCCCCCAAAATGACCCCTCACAAAAAGAAAGACAATTAAAAAGAAGTCAAAATACAATAACAACAAAAAAACGACAACAATTTCCCATATCTACTCCATTATCATTTAAGACAATGCAAAAATCAACTACTACTGTGCAACTAAATGGACTACATCCAACGGCTTTGTTTGTGATAACAAGAGGTGAATTGTGCAGGATCTTAGTCCAGGCTTTGTTTCCTCTTAAGGCATGTAAGCTTTAAAGGTCCTCTTCATCAGGGTGACCAGATAGGAGGGTGTGCTTCACATCACAGAACCCAAATCAAGAGAAACGCATCCTCTTGAGTTTCCTTCAGTGTCCATTTATCGCTGTCTTAGGTAGATGTGCGTGCATGTATTTACAAATGTTACCAAATGCATTGCCACCATGGAGCCTCTGCATACTTCTTAATACGTGCAGTGATAAGCAAGGCACCACCTCTTCATGTGTACATCCCACTGCTATCCATCATCACTCACTCCCTTCCTTCCATAGGAAATCTCAGACGGCTCTCTTCACTTCCCCTCTCTCCTCTTTTCCTTACATATTTTATTGATTAGCATGGGTTTATGTATGATTGCATGTGCATTTTCAGGTCTATATATTGGCATCTGTGTGTAGAATTAGGGCGTACTGAGCATTTGGACGATTTTGGATATTTCAAAGAGAAGGAGGAGGGGTTGTTGCTGTCTGAGCCTCTAGAAAACAGGCAGTCTGGTGGAGGTCAGAGTACAGGCATTGATATCCTCGGTGTGAGAGGCTCTGTGCAGGGACGGTTCTGAGGCACTGCGGTTTATCTTGGGGAGGGCATGCTGGAGAAGCTCAATGGAGGACAAGATCTAAAAAAAAAAAAAAAAAAAAAAAAAAGGAAAAAAAGAGAAAGATTAGTCATACAAAATGCTCTTCATTCAGCTTCGAGTCTACAATCGCCAAGAGAGTGGCTAACCTGCGGGAAGAGCGGCCTCTCGTCCTTTGACTTCTTGATGCAGTCGGCCACCAACCTTTTCATGGCTTTGGGGCAGTTCTTGTAGAGCTTACTGAGGTCTGGGGACAAATAGCCTCTTCCCACCATGAAGATAATCTGAGAAGAGGGAGTGACAGAGAGCAGATGAGAGTAAAGGAATGTGTGGAACATTATTCACATTTTGAAAACATCTTAAGAGTTGAACTATTAATCTGAGTCAGTGCAACAGTAAGAGACACCTGATCAGCCCTCAATCAGCGTTCCACCACCAAGACTCTTAATAAATATGGCCAGTGAGTCGAAAGGTATCTAAAACACTGCAGTCACTGTGAAGGCATGAGTGCATGATGATGCAGAGATAAAGGATGATAGCAGTACTCTATGTGCCTGCCAGGTCAGCTGAGTACAAAGTCATTCTACAGTATCAAGGAGAATTGGGGTACAACACTGGATCGTAACAGTACTTATGGGCACACTTTGTACAGCAATTTTAGCCAAGTTCCAATACAGTCACAGTAAAACTGAACTGAACAAGGGGTCAGACATGGTCAAGACCAGGCCTTGGGGTCTGTGAGACGAAGAAAAGACCACAGACATACGTATGCACACCAATACACCCCTTTTCTCACACACGAACAGGGTTGTGTTACGAGGTCTAAAATTAGGCCAGTGGCTCCAGGACGTCCGCCTCTGTTCCATGGTGGGCCTTAGGCCAGCTCCACAACCCCCTTCAGACAGCGACCCAGTGTCTTTCCACCACCTTCTGGCTGGGAGCAAGGCAGGAACAGGAGCATAGTGGTACATCTGATTGTGGGGCCACAGCTCTGTTTTACATGACCAAATCTAATGAGGTAGCAAAACTTGCAACCCTGATTTTTGCAAATGTATTTTGCTAATCAAAAACAATTACAGAATGCTTAGTGGACAAAATAGGTGATACTCATTATCCCATCTTAATGTCACCTATATGCACCGCTGTACCACTAAACTACTTTCACCTGACATACAGTATGACATGTGTAAATGATGAAACTACCTGATCTCTGTTTGCTGTCTGGGAGTATGGGAGCTCTCCCGTCATGAGCTCAAAGAGAACAATTCCATAGGAATAGACATCAGACTGGAAGCTATAAGGATTGTTATCCTGCATCCGGATAACCTCAGGAGCCTGTGGACATCCAGAAAAAAACATGAATACAGATCCCCACTTTTTGTTTGCATTTCTAGTCTGTTTATTGTGTTTCACGACTCAAAAAGGGTTTAACTTTGGTTGCTTTAGTGAAATCAAGGCGGTTTTACTGACCATCCAGAGAATGGATCCAGAAGGCTGCTCCACCTGATGTGAGCCGCTCCATCTGGCCTTCACCGTAGCAAGACCGAAGTCCCCGATTTTCACCGTTAGCCCTTCATGCAAGAAGATGTCTATGCTTCTGTCAAGGAATCACAGCTAGAACACACTGAGGAAGCACATAACCTCACCAGCATAAGGTTATTATAGTGCGTTGTCTGCTTTTATCTTTCACACAAACTCACTAAAAACAACCAATAAAAAAGGATACTGTTGGACTTCATGTCACGATGAATGATGTTCTTTGCATGCAGATAGCTAAAAAGAAAACAAGAAAAAAAATTAGATGGCACCTTGGTTCCCTTTAATTTGGTTTATCAGAATAACTCAAAGACTTACTCCATGCCCTGAGCAGTCTGCCTGGCAATGTCTATGAGCTGGATGATCTTGAAGTTTGTCTCCAGGACGTGAATATGTTTGTAGAGGCTGCTGCCCTCACACCACTGGGTTACAATGGCCAGGTTGTCCTTCGTCATGTAGCCCATGAACAACAGGATGTTGACATGTCGTGTTTTCCTGTGACCAGCGGCAAAGGGGAAGGGGAAATCACCAAAACAAAGATAAGATAAAAGTTTGCAATAAAGATGATTCGCCAAGAATTCAACAATTTGCAACTGTCAAAACAGCTGAAAGCCCCAGCTGGTAGAATGCTAAAATAACATTGTGTCCATGCCATTTCTTACCTCAGGACTGCAACTTCATTTCTGAATGCCTGTAGCTGCTCTGGTGTGGGGTCAGTCACCTTCAAAATCTTTACTGCTACATCACCTACAACAGATATACTCTGCTCAGTTACCCTTGACCCATAAAACCCACTGTAGGCTCATATGAAACGCAATGCTACATGCACTCTGATCATTTTCCAACCATTATGCGTGTCCGGTAACTCTTGACAACGTGTAAAGTGCAGTGTGAAAAAGTGGAAGGTTACACCTGAAAGTGCCCTGCCCCTTATGAAATGCATTCCTACCATGCCATTTCCCTTTGTATACAGTTCCAAAGGAGCCTGAACCAATGCGGGAGTGCAGGTACACCTCACTGGCCTCGATCTCCCAGTAGTAACTAGAGTCTCGCTTGTCCCGAGGCCTCTGGAACAGAAATCAACAACATACAACTGATGTGAGAGATAAACTAAACCCAACCAGTTATCATAAACCAGTATTCTGTAGACTGCACCTGGTTTGAAAGTATTGACTTTATATACACACAGAACATACAAGCAGTGGTGGAAAGAGTACTAAAATATTTTACTAAGTAAGATTACTTGTTTAAAAACTAAAAATTAAATTAAAGAACACCTTTAACTTAACTAAAAGTGCATTAACATGTATACAGATGAGTGTAAACAGAGTGTGAACTGCTCCACAGAGCCTTCATGTCCAGACCAACAATAAATTCCTTTTCAATAGATGGACATATGGATGGACAAATTAAACAAAAATGAAACAACAAATAAAAAAAGGGTGCAACAAGCAACATTAGGCTACATTCTAATATAATATTATTCCTCCTCAGTCTGTTCTACATTAAGCTTTTTCTGCTCATTCAGTTCATTCACATTATGCATAACATAACCAGTCCACTCAACTCTCTTCCAATGAGCTCCTCAAGGTTTTCAAAAGTCTTTGAGCTGAAAGAGCGCTTGACGGCCACAACTGTGACAGAGATGGTCAAAAACAGCAGAAAGGCCTCACACACATTACTGAATGTAGACATTCTTAAGTAAACGTAGAAGCCACTGCAGGAGTATGTTTGTCAGACCCAGAATGCACCTGTCTTTGGTCACTTAACATGTTCACTGGGCGGTGCATTAAATCAGTGATTAAAGGAGAAGCATTGTTGTACACTTAACCGCTGCGCCCCCTGACACTCAGTACCAGTAAACGTACACATTCAACATGTATCTCTGGACATGGAGCCCTCTGGAGCTCTGCCCTCACGCAGCTCCTACTCTGCTGCAGCTGCTGATTTGGCTCCTTTCCTTTGTTCCATTTTCACATGGTTTATCATCACACTCTTCGTGTGTTGGCATTGTTCTGTAACTAATCTGACTGAAATGCACTGAAGTACAAAAGTTGAGACACAAAATACTTGAAGTAAGACAAAAAAATGTAAAAAGTACACAAAACAACATCTTGGTTACAGTTACAACAGTACATGTAAATAATTACTCACACCCAGTCTTACAAGACAAGACATAGAACTTACAATTTTATTTTTCTCCTGAGTGTTGAAGGACGTGGCCCTCTCTCGTTGGGCAGGTGCAGGGGCTTTGGACTGGGTCTGGGACCAGCCTGTAGGACTCTGGCTGGGGGAACTCCCAGCTTCAGGAATACAGAGAGAAAGAGAAGGCAGCGATTCAGGATGGATCATTTTGGCTGTGTCGAAAATCATTACACACTATACAGTGAATTCTATGGAGACTATATGGTGTGTCAGATAGAAAAACCTAAATATTTAGAATGCTAAATGGGATATAACAGTCTTTTCTACACAGTTGGCAAACACTAGAAAGAGGCAAACACACTAAACTATATGGTGAAATTTTAAATGAATGCACAATCAACATTTGTGGTGAAGGGAGGATGTGCGATGTAGCACAAGAGTACACAACATGATGCAAACCAAACGCAGAGCGAGCACTTACCAGAGTCATGATCACGCATTGCATCCTAGAGAGACAAAAAACACAAAGTTCTGTCAGCGTGTAAGCAGTAAGCAACATGCTGTTCTGTCACTTGTGGTTTGACTTTAATACTAAGATTTGAATGCAGATAGCCTGTTTGCAATGCATGCCATTCAGAACGCACACAGACACTCTGCTTTCTAACCTTTTCTGGACTCTCGGATGAGGCATCAACAAAAGATTGGGAGAAGTGCACAATACCTACTTTCCTCTTCAGCCAGAATCTATTGCACCAGGAGCTGGGGGAGGTATTCAGGCAGTCTAGCTACTCCCCAGCAGGGTACAATACAACAGGCCAGTGAGGAAAGGGGGAAAAGGGACACAGTAAAGGAAAGTGAGGAAGAAACGATGACAAGAGCGATGCCCAGGTTTCTACCTGGACATAATATAGGGAAAATGTTCTACAAAGCATGCAAAACTAGTGAACTGATTATGCAAGAACATTGGCAGTGAAAAAGCAGAAACTAGAACTGAACAGGGAGGAAGTCAAGTGTCGCACATTTTCAAATTGTTAAAATAAGATACCATCAGGGGAATTGCACAAAACAGGCTCAACTCTGTCCAGGTGGATTACTTAACGCAGAGGTAGATAAGAGGTAGAAAAAAGCAAGGCGAAGATAGTTGGAATGCCTGAGATGTACGTAGGAGGGCAAGATCACTCTCAGTCAGGAGATATTTTAGGAGTGGCTAGAACCTACAGGAGTACCCAAGGGGCCCATATGGTGTGTAGTTACCTCAATCATGCTGCTGTCTACAGGCAGGGTAGTGCTAACCATGTGGACGTTGGGCGTGGAAGTGGAGCGCTGCCTCTGGGAGAGGCCGCTGCCTGTGGGTGTGTAGGGGGCGGTGTAGTTGAAGGCATGAGGGGTGGAATATCGATGGGCAGAGCTGTGAAGGTGCACATGGATCAAACATTAAAAGATGGAGCAGCTATTGTTTGTCTGTCTTGCATCACTGCCTCAAAATGACACCCACCACTGACATTTGACAGAACAGCAAACACTGAATTTTGAGACTTCTTTAAAAACAGACTGCCGTGGGTGTGGTGGTGGCTGGTGGAGGGGCTTTCTGGTTTCATTTCTGTCATTTTCTCTCACTTTCCCTATTGAAGCATTGTCTGTTTACACTATGTTGTGCCATCAACAAACTGCAAGCACACATGCAAAATCAATGAGAAGCAAACTAGTACAACTGAAAAATAGCACAGAGGAAGTACTTATTGGTTCATTTTATTGTGGCCGTATCCCATTTTTGGCTAAGTTGACACAGTAGAGGTATTTTGCCCTTGATGTTTGCCAAGATCAGTATTGGCTCAGATGAAGAGTACAAAGCTCACCAGGCAAATATGTTAATCTGCAAACAATCCAAATGTTAGTCTGACTTGACAAGTTCACTTTTACAAGTACAAAAATCTAATGTTAGAAAGCTAAAATACCCATAAACGTATGAACAAGAACAACGGCTCATGTTCAGAAATAAAACTTTCAGCTTTGAAATTAGTCATAATTCTTGGACAACTTGTGTTACTGGACTTATAACTGTACTAAACTGCAGTGTTTCCTCTATGTTGATTTTGGAGCGGCGGCTCGCCGCTGTTAAATTTCTGCCGCCACGGTATCAGAAATGGGGCAGACGCACAATGTAGTCACGGTTGCCTTTTTAATGATCCTGCCGACATAATGCACAACGTTGGCTGCCGCTCACATTGCAATTTAACAAGTAGAACTATTCAGAGGTTATTGGGGCTGTCCAGCTTAACTCCACATACTGTTGTGTTGATGTAGCTTATTGTCAAAACGTTTGCTTTCTTCCAAGTCGACTATTAAACTAACAGCTCCACCAAAAACGTCACCGCAGTGGGTCAGTTTTAAATTGGACAACGTTCAACTTGTCAGTTCTCAGCTCAACGTCCTGATATCAAACATCTGGAAACATTAAAACGGTAAATATATTTGTTTGTGTTGCAGCAAAGTGTCAGTTCTGTTTCATACGTAAAACGTTTGCCGGCGCGATGGGGGGGTTGTTCGGACAGGCCTGCCCCCACTGCTAAAAAAAATCCTAGAGGAAACACTGAAACTGTACTGCTGGTTAGAGTGTGTGAATGACATGTATGAACAGATCATATTAAAATCACACTTATGACCATGGAGTGCACTCCTTGAGAACAATCCCCCTTTTGGCAATACAAAACTTTGTTTCAAAAGACTATTTGCGATTGCTCTGCATGGAACAACTTAATACTTTGTGAGTGCTAATTTGGCAGCTCGGAGTGCTTTTTAACCATTTTAAAGTGCTCCTGAAACAACAGGCTCTTTTCACGCCTCTCATTACATCAGCACTTGGACTAGTAAGCCTCCATAAAGCTGAGGACGTCATCAAAAAACAGGATTTAATTCAATTCAGATTAAGGTTCTTTGCAAATAAGAACGTAACTACAACTGTGTTGCAGTCAAGCATGACAGAAAACAGAAACGGACAATGGTCGTTGCTACCTAAACCGCCCCTCCTAGTTACAATATACTGGTCAGACACCTCAATTTTATTCTCCAGTAACTTGTAAAGACTTCAAAAAATGTTCTTTCTGCTCTGCCAGTGGCTAAGTAGCACCCTGATCATTACAACACCAAACCATAAACTAAACTAAATGATCCATGGAGAGATACTATTTCGATACTACTTCATAGGCATCACTCACTCATCATTCAGCTTCAAAACAACACATGTGCTTTCATTAATACTGCCGTCAAAGTCTCTACGTTCTCTTTAAATAAAAGTTCTGTGTTCCGCTATGGAGCCTGTTTTCTATGAGTGGGTCCCCAGTTTGTTCATCTCTTGCTCATCCACACGGTCCTGCCAATGGTTTCACACTATTCCACTGATCTACAGGTGGCGGGGACATGCTAAGATATGCAGCAATGCGCTAGCAAAGGAGGGTAACAAGAAAACTATTGGCAAGTAAACATGGATGTAAACAATGCTTGATTTAAGATACATTAAAAAAAAAAGTGTTTTGCAAATGTTTTATGAGGAAGGGAAATACAATCAGCGCTTTAGGATACACACACAATGAGTTTTGGTGAGTGACCCTGAATGTAAACAAGAAAAGAAGAAAAGAAAACCTTAAAAAAAAAAAAAAGTTATTTCACTCTTTTAGCCTTTATTCCTCCATTACTTTGTTCTGTTTTCAAAATGTAGTCTTATTTGCATACGTAACATTTGCACATTAGTGTGGGAGGGAAATCATTTTGAAGACAATAACGGACAGCTGTTGGTATTGTATCTATCATAAAAACTTTGCCTCACCTTGGAAACCGTGTTAAGGATTCCCTCATTCGCCGGGATGTCAGCGGGGGCAGTGACGGGCCACTGCTGTCACCAGGTGTTGGACACAACCTGAAGATGGAGAGTGGTGGACAGTGAATCTCTCACAGTGCTTAATCAAATAACAGCTAAAGACTACAGTGACTGTCAGGTACAGTAAAAGGGTGTGTATATGTCTCTGATATGGATCTTTTAATGTTTACAATCAGTCCTAAAACTTGCATGCAAATTAACACGTATAGCCCGTTCTCAGTGCGAGTATGCAAAGTCATATATATATATATATATATGAGCTTAGACCTCAGGACATCTGTAGTATCAGCAGAACCGGTTTTCTATTTTACCCCAACAGCACAATTTCTGACGCACTACAAATGCCACCTCAGATTTGATTAAATTTAACGAAACTAACTTTAATGGAGAGCCCGTACAGAGAATGAATTCAAGACAGAAAGTAGTTACGTTACACTCCCATTTCAAGGTGAAAACACTTACAGGAGTTGTCTGATGTTGCTCCAGTCCACACACATCGTGGGCACTTTGGTGCTACAATGCTCATGGAATTTGTAGCCGCATGTTTGGCAACGGAAACCATTCAAAAGAAACTTCTGGCAAATATCACAGAACGCTAGTTTCAGATAAGTTTTCCGAACCTGAAAATGACAGAGAAAAAAGTTAATGGAATTATGTAGCAGTGACAGTTTTTTGAGGGTGAGGTTATCGTAAATGCTTCAGGTACTCACAAAATTATGAGTCGTCAAGGGAACGTGATCTAAAACCTCCACCAGTAGCTCTTCCCCAATAAGAGAGGTGGAGTCAGTATTCCAATCCATCCGGAATTTTTTACTATTACAAAAAAGGACAAAAGACTTTACATGAAGGGATATCAATTAAGAAAGGATAACTAGAGCCAGTAAGAATGTGATATGTAGAATCTCTCATCTTATTTCCAAGGTTTCAAACCCACAACAATCCTAACCTCACCTCCTTTGCTCTGGATGCAACCTGAAGACAGCGCAGCACTGAGGCTGCAGACCTCGCACCTTTAATGCTTTAATCAGGCAACTGTGCAGAGTCATACCTGGTCGCACGTTTACCTGAGGGACAAAAAAAAGTATTAATTCTTCTCTTGCCTGCCATGATATAAGCAGCTCATAATGCCTTTAGGTAACTGTATTGTATTATTTGTAGTAGTATTTCTGTAGCTTTTTTGGATGTCTGGAAATCTGTATGCCACCAGTATGCCGTCTCCGACCAGCAGGAAAAACGTACTCACCACAGTGCGCTGGTGGTTTGGGAGGTAGACACGGATAGTGCTGCTAGTCTTGGAGTCGGGCATCTTGCTGTCATCTGAGGAGCGACGCTGGCAGGTAAAGCCCTGGACCATGGTCGGGGAAAGGCACGGGCCCTCGAACGCAGAGTCCTTCATTCCGAATCCGTTGCTCAGGGTCTTCCACGCTCCCTGGAGGTGCTCCATTAGTAAAGCCAAACGCTCGCAATGGTCTGAAAATAAGAAAAACAAGACACGCACAGATACACAAACAGTATTAGTAGTCCAAATACTTCAAAAGCTCACATCAACAATTGATTACTCAATCAATATTACATTTTTTCCTCTTTCTTCTCTGTGAGGATATTGGTGGTATGCAAACTCATAGTGTAACAGAATGTAAATGAGTCCAGTCATCCTTCAAGCTTTTTAAAGGTTTAAAACAGTTTAAATTGATACTCTCTACCTAAAATCTATCTTTGTAGTATATTTTAGAATACAGTTTTTTTTTCTCCCCCCACTGAAAAAGGACAGCTATGGTTGGCTTGAATGCACATCAGTCACAATGAACTCCAATGGTGAAATGAAACAGCCAAGGAAGAAAGTAGCAAAATAACAACAGATTGAGGTTATGCCATTGAGAAATTGAAACACCAAGCATAATCTCACCAACTGCAACCAAACCTCTTGAATGATGGCATGATTAGGGCCAGTCAGTATGTTAGCAGCAAGCCTTTCAGAAGTGTGACAGGAAAAGTAAAGAGAACATGTACGCTCTGACCTGTTTAGTGGTTCTATGCTATTTAACTCTGAACTCTACACAACAGGAGCAGTTTTAAGAATACCACAGGCACTTTTTTTTTGTGTGGCTGCAACTGTCCTTTCCCTTTTCATTTGAGAGACAACAGCAGAGCAATGTAGACAAACTAATCCACTCAGACCAGGAGAATCTCAGGCCATCACAGGGGTCAGTCGTGTTATTTACAGTATATGCTTTCAACAGACTCTTTCTTCTGCATGGTCAGGCAACGCACAACTAAAACTCAAACAGCTCGTAACAGTAAAGGGATCACAATACTTACATACAGGGAGTAATCAAATAAAGAAATAGAAGAAAGGAATACAGGTCATCTAATTAACATAATTGCTTACGGAAAAAAAAAAAAAAACATTAGTCATTTCACAACTGCCTGTAAAAGAAAAATAAAAACTTGTTACAATCAAGTTGGACCTACCCATCACAAACAAATATGCTCCCTCTTCCACTTGGTTTTTATTACAAACTCTGGGTACACACAGAAGTTTCACTGATTCTTGGTATTCACTTTCACTGTGTACACTTTCAGCCAGCGAAACTCCTAAATTACCACTGGTGTGTCTTATACAAAGACCTGTTAACAGTGAAGAGATGATTTACTGCAGTTAGTGGTTAGCTGTCACAGCAGACATACTGGTATGTCAGCAGCACAGAAAAGTAGGGAACTTGGGACAGTTGTGGCTCTCCCACCCTTCCCACCATGCTGCAGGAATTGTGTTCAAAACAAGTTCTGTTATCCATCCAGAAAAGGGTATCAACAGAAAGAATGTGAAGTCCAGAATAATTAGACTTTACTCCCGTCTGCTCGGATCTGTTCTACATACAAGGGTCGGTCTACATAACACAAGTCAGCATTACAAACCCACGGCAAGAGTCTCTGCCTTGACTGAACTCTTCAAAAAAAAAAAAAAAAAAAAAAAGGTATAAATGTAGGTGAGACTCAATGTCAGCTGGTTAGCATGTTTTGTGATAGTTAAAGTAGAGTTTTAAACAGACTTCTGAGCCTTCAATGGGGTTTCAATTCAATCCAACTTCGTACTAAAACAGAGTAGTAAAATACGCCTGCTACTGAAATGAGTGCACTATTTGCACAACTACAGTAGCTATTAGTAGCTACGTGTGTTTTCATAGGGCCTGGTAGATCCAGTTTTTACTGTGACTGAATTGTCTGTAGGCCCTCAGAGGCGAACTATATCGTTAAACTTCACTGCACCGCTCTATTCGCCCTCCATTCAAATTTCACTAGTCCAAACAATGCATGTATTGGTCATGTGCCCTAAAGAGAAGCAGTTAAACACTTCTAGTTAGCATTTCAAACATAATTTCAAAGCGTAGCAATGCTAGGAGCCAGTAGCCTGCATATGCTTACCAAGAGAAGTTAGAAAAGTTGTGCTCCGCCATAACTTCAGGAAAAAGTGGCGTCGGTGACATCATCATATTTGCAACGCATTCAAAGAAAAAAAAAACGGGAAAAAAGTCAAAGTCGGCAAAGAACCCTGAAATTGTATCAAATACTCTTAATAATAAATGTAGCGATAATGTGAGACGTGAAGGTCATAGGCGGGTCTCTTTTACGAGCCACCTAATATAATAGAGGAAAAGTTTTATCTCCCAGTCGTGGTAAATGCGAGCGAAAAAAATCCGTCGGACCCTCAAAGTGACACGACGAATGGATATTCTTTTAAGTCCCGTGAAGCACTTTCAAATTAAAACACCCGTGAAGTTGCTCGGTAAATGCCTCGCTTTTCAAATCAATATTTACGTTGTTCGGGAGAAGGTGAAAAGGTTTGAGTTGGTGTCGTGCGTCCGTCTGACGCCAGTGATTGAAACAGGACCTTGCAGTCATAACAAGAGTTGCAAGCATCACTCACACTGCGCAACTACAGCACAAATTTAAGCCCTCCCACTTTGGTAAAACCCTTTTTTTTTTTTTTTTTTCGTATAAAAGATCAAGCTTATATTTATAGGTATAATGGGTTGTTTATGCGTGGCCATGTTTCACATACACACTATATTTAAAGTCCTGTTCTGTAGCATGCGTCGCCGTTGAGCTCATATACCGGTAAAGGTTCATTTAAAATCACAAAGGCTAATACGTGTGAAACATTAATGTAGTTTTGTTTTGTTTTTTTAAACTGCACATTCGTTAAAATATGAGTTGCAACCGTATCTTTTAAAAAGCAGAAAGAAAAAGGAAAAAAAAGGGCCCACTACCGGTTTGGAGTAAAGGAGGGATCCATTATTAACCACAAGTGCACCATCATCTGGAGATGTGAAGACAGTGCAACATTGTGTCCTTGGAAATTATTGTGGAGCCTTCCTGATATTCACGACAGTCATGTTATATTTTGCATATCTGGTATAAAAAAGACACACAAGAGTCAGCTTGTAGGATGCTATGGCAAGTAGGCTACAGTCTGAAAAAAAAAAAAGTTCCACCTCCAGTTAAAAGGTGAGGATTTTCTTAACTGTCAGAAATGTATCTTTCTATATGGATACAAACATCAAAAGAGGCATTAGGCACATTAGCTTTTGTTAGCAAAGAGCTACAGCTTATTCTTTTCCAAACTAGCCCTGAAACCATACAATTGGGAAACCTTCTAGACTCACCATGTGTTCACCATCTCCGTGGCATCCTGATCTGGGTCCCCTGAGGTACCCTAATCACAGCTAGGTCCTTTCAGCAAGCTCGAGTTGACACCATCTGAGAATAAAACAGCTTCATCAACATACCGGTCAATATGTCTTGATGGGCTCAGCATACATTGTTTCCATAAAGCAGCAGCAGCCAATTTTTTTAGCTAGAAATCTAAGTCACAAACCCACGTTAAATGTTCCTGTTTTGCAGCCATTTGTAATTTAATTCTACTCATCTGACTTTACAGTTTAGTCTACTTTTCTGAAAACTGCATTTTCAAACAGATTTCTCATCTAACAAATAACAGAAATGCCAAATACTGTTTCTGTGAAGATGAGGGCAGGGCTTTGTCATTGAGGAGCGTTTTAAGGTACTCCACACCACATGCAACAGTACCACTGCATTTCAGTCAGGGTGGGATATTACGGTGATACACCTCTTAATCAATTCAAAATCATACACCACAAGTTGTGATATTTCCCTCTGCTTTTTATTAAAGGTTGTCAGCTACAGAATGAAGACCACAGAAAATAACAATTGCTATCTCAGAGCATTACGACCAAAACCACCTTAAGACTGAGATGAATGCATCTTTCCCACTTATTGATCTGACTGAGCACTCAGGCCAGTGAGCTGAGAGGCTTGCAGCTCCCATGGATTGTTGTCTCTATCAGCTGTCTTCTATTCAAAACATGATGCAATCAGGACTCGTTAAACAACAAGGTTCTGCATTTAGATTATACAGTCATATGTTTATGAAATCATCAGTCTGAAACACATGCTCGCCATTGTTTGATTGTTTTGATCATAGTTTGTTTTAGGCCTAAAAACTCTCATTTCAATTCCAGAGTCTGTGATTTCAGGCTTGTTTTGTTAAGTTTTATATGGTCATTGACAAATACATGAATGTCATTTCAGGTGGTTTTAAGATGTAAAAAAAATCTGAATGCCATTCTCATCATTGTTTTTAAACCTTTAGTTGAAATTAGTTTCTGATAATTGTTAAAAAAAATAAAATGTTGCTTGATTTCTCAGAGTCATAGATTCAGAAAGAGGCCACATCTCACACACTACAAATTCACTTTTTTCTTCAAATGTATTGAATTATTTTCATCTTCCTGGTTAATTTTAACCAGTAACAGTGGTAACATTTATTGAGAACCAGATACAGACAAACAGACAGCTTATTGCACTGATTCTGTAAACAGAGCTACTTCTGAGACATGTCTGGGAAGGTACTGCCATTGATTTGCCCAAATAAAACTGTAGGTGTGTCCGGAAAGGTAGCTGACAGGGGTTGATAAAAAGATAAGAGAGATCACTGTACAGCCTTTACCACACAGTACCTGAGTGAGTCGGCTCTTGAAATGGCTCACAGAAACCTATACTTTTATATGCAAAGGTCTCAAGCAATTTACCATGAATAAATTGGGGCTAGTACACAATTAATAATTATTACATAAAACCATTTCAAGTTTCCTGCATTTTATACTCTTTCCATTTTGTGGCTCTAATATATCCCTTTTTCTTAATTTTTGCATTCATTATTATCATTAAATGATCTTATTTTAGTTGTAGTAGCTGGTATAAGTAGTACCAGTTGTAGTATTGGTATACTGCTAATAGTATATTCACTAATATTTGGATTTTTAAGACGTTTTTCATGTTTAAAAATGAAGTGGATAAAATAAGGCCAGTCAATTTATGGAAACAGGGCCCTTCTGTATCCACGATTGGCTGATTCATAGAGGCGGTGTCCAGACTTCCTCGCGTTTGATTGGCTGCCTGCAGAGGCTGTGGCCAATGACCGTGCAGGTTTTTTTACTGGATACTGTGAATGACAATTCAGGAACTCCTGTTCACACCGCATGTAGCGCAAAGAAGGAGGCGTAAACACTGACATAGCTAGGTAGCCAGCAAGGTAAGCAATAAACAGCACTAATACGAAAATGTATTTAATCTGTAGATATTGTATATGTGTAACTTTTGAAACTATGACATGTTAAAACCGATTATAGTGGAAAATTGAACGCGTGCTCGGTTTTCTTTTGTAAAAAACGCACTGGTTTCTGGCCTGGTCCGCACTAACGGAGCATCGGGATCTCAGTCAGGCCTGCTAACGTTAGCTCGTCGTCACAACGACTTTGCCGTGTGCGCCCTGCGCGGGAAATTTTGTTTTTATGTCATATTCGCCCGAATACCCGTCGGAAACGATCCACGATCAACCATTATCGCTATAAGTGTTGCATCGACACTTTCTTCCCGGAGAAAACAGATAAGATCGTCGACTGAACCGCGCGTCTTGGTCGTGATCGTGAGGCGGTTCTGCTAGCATGTGTTAGCAGCAGCGAGCAGCACTGGTGTCTCGCGATTGCGCAGAAAAATCAACGTGACTAGGCCAACGTTAGCGTAGCCTCAACCTTTGGCATTTGATTCTGTCTTGCAAACGCTAAAACAAACAAAAAAAACCAGGTCGGAATCGCGTTGTCTGGGTAACTTACGTGCAACAGACGATCTGGATGGTTTACTGATGAAACGAGTCGAGAGGTATCTTAGTCTTTTTGTTAGACGTCGCGCGTTGCTGGTTAAAGCAGATGTTCCATCACAACACGATGTTGCTGTGACTGCCCTCTCGAGTTAGCTTTTCAAGTTAGCACACAACCTCACGGCATGCTTTCAGCTTCCATGGCCGTCCTGTAGTAATGTGAGTGTATGTGTGTGTGTGTGTGTGTGTGTGTGGCGTTAATGTAGACCAACAAGTTATCGAGAAAATATCAATTAAAACTCCGTGTGTGTGTGTGTGTGTGTAGCCCGGTGGAGACGAGCTCTCACGTGGCTGCTGGAGAAACATGATTTCTTTAACTATTTAGTGAAACGCTATTATGTAAGCAATAAAACGAGGCCCTACGTGCATTTGGATGACCATTATATACAGTCCGAAGCAACAAGTTAGCCTTTTGCAGTCATTGTGGGCAATTTTAAACCCCGCTGTCTCGTTTTGTAGCCCACGTCGACGTTTAGCTACTAATTGCGAGTAGCTTGATTACTCATTAACTCACATTCTTCCTGACTTGATGTCTTTAGCACCGTCAGCAAACAGAAGTTTGGCGTCACAGCATGTTTCCATTGACGAAATCCTGTAAGTTAGCTTAGTAGGTAGTTGTAGTCTGATGGGCCAAAGTATGATAGACACCGCAGCTGAAAATGTCCCCCCCCTTTGTCTGATTCGTAGATTAGGACCCCCCCCCCGCTCTGGTAGTCATTATGCTAAACTGCCCCTTGCAGTACTGGTGTGTGAGTTGTGTACTGTCATTTGATTCGGGACACGGAGAATTGTGTTAAACTTATTCTAATCTGACACAGAAAATGTCCTTTTAAAATGGTACACACGAGATATTTTGACATCTCATAAATTTAGCATTGCCTTGGACAACCTTGCGACCGCATGGTCATATTGTCTTATTGTGTTCATGATCAGATCATTCTTTAACGTGGCACTCATGTCACCTTGTGTACACTGGCTGCACCGCAAACAAATCAAGCATCAGCAACAGCTGTTTATTTACTGTTTTGCACCAGTGTAAACAGCTGCATCTGTTTAAAAATGTAGGCTTTGTAGAACGTGGGCTCTCATACCACATATGACAATAGCAGAATATGTGTGTGTGTGTGCAGTAGTAGTAGCAGAGTGAAAGTGAAAGCCAAAGCACATTATGTCAGTGTGTTTAAGTAGTCTAAACAGATTTGGCCACCAGTGACAAGATTAATGTGCTATGTTGATGCTTTTAGGTCTTAACATCGTACTAAGCAGCTTAATTGTTCAAGAGGCCGCTTTTATAAACTGAAATCAAAGCTCTAAACTAGCATCCATATGCTCCGTATAAAACGCCTGTGACAAGTGATTTATAATGGTGCAGGTGTATAACTGAGTTGCACAAATTGGATCTTTTTTTTTTTTTGCCACCAATAAAATGCAGCATTCTTTCTGCTGGAATGCACTTGCATGCGTTTCATGGAGGCCGGCCTGTTGGAGGGTCACAGCTGAAGTTAGTCAGCACAAAACCTAGTGGAAAATCAAGATGGTGCCACATTCCCCCTTTGAAAAGAATTGTCTTGCTTTGGTATGCGAGCCCACAAAACGCAGCTTAATGCGGCCAGTGTAGACGATGTGCAATATCAATTGTGTATGTATGGTTTTAATTTGAATATGAATTGTGTTCATTATTTGTGTTGTGTTTTTGTTTAGATAATGGAGTTGGGCGGCAACAGCGAGTGCTTTGGATGTGGCCGCTCTGGGCATTGGATCAAGAATTGCCCCAGTGCCAGCGGTTCACGTGGCCGTGGCGGAAGGGGTCGGGGACGAGGCAAGGGTACTATATACTACAGGCCACACCCACTATAAAATGATTACAATCACTTGGGTCACATGACATATACATTTTTTTCACTGCACTTTTGATAAGTTATTCACTTATAGTTGTAGTTCTGGGGTTACGGATGGGTGTTAGCACAGCATTCTCAATGGGACACATTAATTTGAGGAGAAACACTTGGGGGAAGGTCCATGAATTAAAACTTTGTAGTCTCTTCCTTATCTTTGCGTACTAATATGTCTGTCATTACAGAGCTGTTCTGTTATCGTTGTGGAGACCAAGGACACATGGCCAGGGACTGTGACCAAACTGAGGATGGTGTGCATTGCAGTTCTATTTCTTCTATTTCAGTTCTAGTTAGTTGGTGTAAAACGATTGTTTTCAACTTTTTTTTTTTTTTTTTTTAAGTTAACAAACTTTTTTCCTGTCCAGCTTGCTACAACTGCCACAGGAGTGGCCACATTTCCCGGGACTGCAAGGAGCCCAAGAAGGAGAGAGAGCAGCTCTGCTACACTTGTGGCAAAGCTGGCCACATGGCCCGTGACTGTGATCATGCCAATGAGCAGAAGTGCTACTCCTGCGGTGGGTTTGGCCACATCCAGAAACTTTGCGATAAGGTGAAATGTTACAGGTGAGTTGTAGTCCTGGTTTGGAAAAGACGCCCCCTTATGATAAATGTCTGAACTTCTATATGAAATTATTTTAAATCCCCGTCTCCTCTTTGTAACATTTAAGTAGGTTTATTGTGTTTCTGGTTTAGTTCGTATGTCCACTTCAAAGAAGGATAACCATGTCACTTAAGAAACTAACTAATACATTTTGTCTCCCCTAGGTGTGGCGAGATTGGTCACGTTGCTGTGCAATGCAGTAAAGCCAGCGAGACTAACTGCTACAACTGCGGAAAGGCAGGCCACCTGGCAAAAGACTGCACCATTGAAGCCAGCGCATAATCAGTGCCCTCTGTTGCCCCTCCTTTTTTCAGATTGATGGTTGGTTGTATTATTTTCTCTGAATCCTCTTCACTGGCCAAAGTTTGGCTAACAGAGGCTAGTCCCATGCCAGTGAGCCTCTCGACATGTAATACAATGAAAGGGGTGAAAAAAATATCTTTCTGCATTCAATACAAAAATGTTTTAGTTTGGTAGCGGTGTTATGTATAATGCTTTGTTAAAGAGCCCCCCTTTCCAAGCCACTGGTGATCAGTCAGAGATGAATAAACGGGACTAAACATATGGGAATCTATAGGACCTCTGAGCTAGTGGAAGTGAGCCTCAGTAAAATGAGAAAGAAGAAGGGAGTAAATGGAAACCGAACTTCCATGTATGGTTATTTTGGTTTGTTTTAGTGGGATATGAGTTGGCCAAGAGAGCATGACATGGAAACAGTTCATAACATGATGCATTTCAGCCCTACAAGCAGCTAAGCGGGCGATAACAAACTACATGTTATATTGCTATGATATAAACAATTTTGGAGGTATTAAAAGAAACACGTTCTTTTATAGAAATCTGTTTACAATTTAAATATCACTTGGTAGTCCAAGGTAGACTTTTCCTTTAAAAATGGCTTTGGAATTTTTTTTTTTACCTTGGCAAAATTTAACATCAAGAACAGTTGTCAGAACAGCAGAATTAGGAGTTATTTGGGAATGAAAAATGTTTTCACAGAAATCAAAATGTTATTTTTGTACAATATCACTTAGTAGACTACTGTATAAATACCATTTGCTTGTACTCAGTTTTTAAGTCGGAAGGAAAGTGCAACTGAAGTCCTAGATAATAGAAATGTAATTTTAAACTATCAATAAAGCTGGAGGAGCACGGGGAAGACCTTTTTGTCTGATTTCAGTGGATACTCTTTAATGCTTGTCTTAACACACCTTTCCTTTACAGGTCTTTGTCCTTTCTCAAGTGAATCTGTGTGGTTTTTAAAAAATAGAAAATAAACCCTGATCATTGTGACCTGCTTTTTCAACTCAGGAGCCCCATTGACAACAATGCAAGATGATCTCCCACTTAAACCTGATCTGTGGGTTAACAGTAAACAATGCAGAGCTTTCTTTGGTCCTCTGGTATTTGTGTCTTCTGCACTTAAAATACTGTACTTCGGAAAAGCATCTGCAACATCAGATCCCTACAATTCAACCTCATTTCTCCTCAACTATGTGTTTCCATTATATTTGTGCAGCCACTCTTGATATTTAAAAAGAAAAGGGGGTGAGCAGGGTGGGTAAAACTGGATTCTGCTGTCTCGAACAAAGAGTCAGATTTCCCCGTCAAATTCCTTGTGGAACTCCAGCAGCAAATTTAGCCACCCCCGAAGCACATCCCGGGACACGAGGGCAGACTGCTACACGTGACACCAGTGGGTCAACCAAACTGGTTTTCAGTCACAAAGGTAAAATGGAGAATTAAATCTAACGGTATCCATGTTGTGCCTCACAGTGCAGAATAAATCACCCAACCCTGGAAAAGTTTACACATAAACATATATTTATATATGTATATTCAGAGAAAACTGGTGGATCCGGGTGATTGTGATCAGACAGCTCGTGTTTGTTTGTGCAGCCCTGCAGTCCGTGCTGGAAGCCACGGAAAGGTGCTGGTGCGTTCAAGAAATGGTTAAGCTCCACCTCGGTGTCTAAAATGGCAGCGGGGGTTGCGGTGCAGACGCAGCTCCTTCCGGCAGAGATGCAGCAGGAGACCCTCCTACTCCTCATATGTCGTCATCGGGTCTCGCCCAGTCAAATCATAGTCGGAGAAAACATCTGAGAGAGAGAGAGAGAGGGAGGGAGAGGGTGAGGGAGAGAGAGGAAAAAAAAAGAAAACCCGAGCCGAGCACCCTGCGCGGCCGGAGCGAGCCGGCTTCATGCTTCTTCGCGCGGGGTCGTGTTTGATTTCTATCCTTTTTCTTTCTGTTTTTTTGTAACCCGGTGATAAATAAAAGGAGATGAAGGGACTCCTGCCGTTTTACCGGGGCCTGTGCACCCTGAGTAACCGTCAAGCCAGACGAAAAGCTGGGATTGTCGGTTCTAGGTGCGGGTTTTGCGGAACTCAGTCTAATAGCAAGGTACGGATCGAGCTGTTGCTGCAGCCTCGGCTCAGGCAAACAATAATACGGTTGTTGACAAGGCGATACTTTGTAGTTGTTTTTTTGGGGGGGGGCGTTAGAATGTATCGAATCGACCGTTGCATGCAACTTACTCAGATGTGGATGCTCTGGCAGGGAATGAAACAACAACAGAGGATGTAACAGCAGCTGTAGCTTACTGTATTTGTCCCCCCGTGAGAAAACAACAATAGCTGATAATATATACTGTGTTCCTGGTTGGGTGTCTCAGCCCAAGCAACAGAAGAAGGGAAAAAAAGCACAAAGGGACCTTTATACTTACATGTTTGGATAGCTGTAGGATTATTTGTAAAAATGCTAACAATGGAACCAAACACTCTCTATGTACTGATGTGTCACCATAGGTTTCCCCCTATGGATTATCTGTGGCTGCCCCCCTATGTTGCAGATATGTAATGCAAACCTTTTTTTTTTTTTTTTTTTAAAGGGCCCATATTATGCCACAATGCAGAGCCAAGCCCTGTCACTAGTATGTTTTTTTTTTTTTTTTAGAAATACACTGTCATTATGTGTGTAAACAATATTCACAGACATGCATATTACATATTACAAAGTAAATTTAAGTCATTTAACACTGTGATTGCAAGCCCCCCCCTTGAAATAAAGCTGTTGATTATGTGCAATCTCACAAATTCACTTCATTCTCAGCCACATTAAAGCTCTTCGTGTATTTAGTGAATCACCATTTCCCCCTAAGTTTGATCATTTTGACTAAGCACGTCATATGTCTGTCACCCTTCCTTTATCCACACAGCGTTGCTTGTTTTTCTACACCCTGTGATTTCGTGCCTGCAGTCTGGCTGATGAACCCGTGTTTGTCCTTCTCTCCTACAGCCACAGCCAAGCTTTGGGCTGTTGTTCGACATTGATGGCGTGCTTGTCCGTGGGAGGATGCCAATCCCTGCTGCAAAAAAGTCGTTTGAGAAGTTGGTCGACTCTCAGGGACAATTTGTGGTGCCAGTTGTTTTTGTCACAAATGCAGGGAATTGCCTCCGACAAACAAAAGCAGACCAGCTCTCTCACATCCTGGGAGTGCCTGTGAGTTGTCAAGCTGCAGAGAGAAATTGCTATAGAGGCTTAATGACTGTTCTATGTAGATCCTTTTTATTAATCTGGTGTCCCACGTCACCTCTGCTATTAACCTCTTCCAACCCTTGATCTATTTCCAGATTACACAAGATCAAGTCATCATGTCCCACAGTCCCCTGAGGATGTTTAAGAAGTTTCATGACAAGTGTGTGCTGGTGTCAGGACAGGGACCAGTGCTGGAAATCGCTAAAAAGTAACTTGGATTCTTGCTTTGTTACGTTTTCAGCTTGTGATACATTTAAATTAGATTTGCATAATACTCTTCATTTGTCCATAACCCTCTGTTTTTAGTGTGGGCTTTAAGAATGTTGTCAGTATTGATATGCTGAGGGAATCATTCCCATTGCTGGACATGGTGGATCACAACAGGAGACCCAAACTGCCGGTGAGATATTCAAATCTGGTGCAGAAATGTGTCGATTATATAAACACCAAACTGTTGTTAAGTCACACACAACAGCACATGTTTAGTTTCTCTTCTTTTATTCCAGTCCAACCCACTTGGGAACCTTCCTAAGGTTGAAGGTAAGAACATGTACCTCTTATCTTAAACGTTTATCAGTCTCATAGTTGCTCACTGGCATCGGCTTGTTTAATATTGATGTCAAAGTCATTCACCTTTTAATTCCATGTACAGCTGTGATTCTGTTTGGGGAGCCAATCCGATGGGAGACCAACCTGCAGCTGATAATTGACCTCTTGTTGACCAACGGTAACCTCAGCAGCATTCACAAAACCCAAAAGATGTCTCACCTCCCCCTGCTGGCCTGCAACATGGACCTCATGTGGATGGCTGAGGCACATTCTCCACGGTAACTTTAAAAAGAAATCAGTGCTTTCACAGATTTAATTTATTGACATTATCAAATTAAGCACTGTCTCTCGAAAGCTGCCAAATGCAAATATATATCCCATTGTATTCAATTTTGTCTCAGGTTTGGCCATGGGACATTTCTTGTGTGCCTAGAGAACATCTATAAGAAGATAACTGGTCAAGACCTGAAGTATGATGCCCTCATGGGAAAACCCAGTGAGCTGACCTACCATTTCGCTGAGTACCTCATCAGAAGCCAGGCCATGCAGATGCAGTGGAAACATCCCGTCACTTCACTTTATGCTATAGGGTAAGTTTTTTCTCTTTGCACTGTATGTAGGTAGTATGGAATAAACTAAGGAAGTGATGAGACTTGAATAAAAAGAGAACAGGAACAAGTACTGCATAACAAACTTAAGTTAACTTCGCATGGCTTTTTATTTGCCAGTTACTGAAAAGTGTGTTTTTCTCACATTTTGAGTTGCAATTTTTAAAAAACTGAGAGAAACTGTGAGAAAACATCATATAAAATACAGAACTCCGTCATTTCGACTGCCCACAAGCATGCTAGAGATCATATCACACCTTCCTTGCATGTTTCACTTCAACTTTTTATCACGAGTGTTGCTTTTGTACTGGTGCAGCTGTTCTGTGTTCGCATGCCGGCACTACATAATTGCTTTAATTGCTCCTTCACCGGTGGAGTAGGATAGAGCAGCAGAAAATAAACACATTGTTGCACATATCAGTATCCAGGCTAGCTTTGTGCTCACTGCCTGAGGCACTGAATAATCTCTTCCCCCTTCTGCGCTCTCAGGGATAACCTTATGACTGACATCTATGGCGCCAACCTATACAACCGCTACCTGGAGGAGAGAGTTGCTAGAACGAACCCCAAAGCCATTGCTAAGATGGTGACCGCCACAGGGTCCGCCACTACCGTGCCCCAGGAGGAGGAGATCGACAACATGTGGGAGAGCGAGCTAGCGCTGCCCGCTGCCACCTCCTGTAAGTCTGTCCTAGTCTGCACGGGGGTCTACAACCCCAACGCAGAGGTGCCGTCTGATGCAAGTCACTGCATCAAAGAGACTGTGTTCCACGGGCACCGGGACTTCAGATTTGACCCTGCACTGGTGGAGCCCGGCCACATTGTGCAGGATGTGGCAGAAGCTGTTGACCTCATCTTTGAGCAGGAGAAGTTTGTGCCTCAGTAGAGTTTTGAGCCAACAGGTTTTGTCCCAGTAGAGAAAGACGGAGGGGGGCAGGGCATTAAACTGGGTATACCACTTAATGCATAAAACCTCTAGGAGCCTAACACTGTGGACTTTGTTTGACAACCTGACAGGGCATTGATAAATATGGGTCACCTTCTAAACTTTCAACTTTGAGACAAACTTTAGAGAAAATTAATCATGTAACTGTTACTGTCAACCGCTCTTTTGTATTGTTTTTGTGATAGTCTTTAATTACACGTTTTTTTCTTTAAGGAAAAGTGTAAGAAAGGCCTTATTTGACCCAACTAAGTATTTTTTTAGATGATAGCAATGTTTTAGATAATTACAAATCCTGAAATCATCCTATATTTATTACAAAGATTTACCAGTGTTTTTAAGAAGCATATTCAGATAACATTTGACCTATTATTATACAGGCTACTTTTTATTATTGCATTTTTAGTCATTTGTTTACCCATTTATCCTGGAAAATCTATGCATGAATATGAGAGAAATACTTTTACTGTAAAACAACTGTTTGATGTGCAATATTGTCCTCTAATAGTACTGCCTGTCTGCATTTTGTCTAGATGTGAGAGCGTTGACTAGTATTTGCACAGATCATCTTTGACTTTGTCAGACTTTCATCTTTGTTAAATGTTACCATATCTTCCTGCCATAACCTGATTAGCATAATGTAGAAATTCATTTTAATGCTTTAAAATTTGAATTCCAGAAGCAAAAGCTATTTAGTACAATGCCAATCAAAAGATTTTACCACTTCGTAATTGATTTGTAGTAATTTACTCATTGTAAATAGCGTAACTTAAGAAAATATAAGAATTAGTTACACACGTTTTTGTTGTTCCAAACTGTGTGATTTTTCTCTCAAAAATGACCCACATCTTATAAGAACTGGTCATGGTATTGATCACTCTGTGGAGGCACCTGTAACAGGCAGCAATGTGTATATTTTTCTACAAGATATGCAGAAAGTCTTCATGCTTTTAAACATGAATGCTTAACTAGCTCACAGACATAGACTGATGAGTATTTAGCCATTTCCAATTAGGTTTCAATCATTTCCAATACAACTGCAAGCCCAAAATAGTTCTCAATGCTCTTACATTTTCTTAGTGTATCTGTAAATTTCTTGAGCTTTAACCAAAAATTCTACAGTGTATAGCATATTATGACGCGCAGTCTACGGCACAGGACCTTTTTCAAAAGAATAACGTTTCACTGTAAGAAAAAAATAGCAGTTACCCAGAAGAAGCGTCAGGAGACATGGCTGCAGCGGTTTAGTGTTTAAAATCAACTTTATTGCAAAAACACCATGTTTTGTTATTGCCCTTAATTCTACTTTCCATTTGAAGTGTTTTTGTAATTCCACTGTAGTAGACAAAGAGGTCCCTCAGGTAGCCTTTATCTTTATATTGTGCTTCTTGTGCAACACATCCAGTACTTGCGGCAGTAACTCCATGTTGATAAGTGGCTTTTCTAGATCCTCCGCCTGAGTGAGAGAGTCAGAGTACGGCCTGGCCTCTGACAGTGCAGAGTGCAGCCTCCTCCTGTGTTTGGGCTTCAGTGAGCGCAAAGAGTCGGCCTCGAATCCTGAATGTCTCTCATCTATGTACAGAATGAAGGTGGAAGTTTTGGCTAGTCTCAAGGTCATCAGAAGCAGAACAATGAGGCAGCATAGCATCACTCCCATCATGGTGTTATAAGCTGCATCAGTACAGTTTTCCAGGGCATAGGAAGAAAAGGAGTCATCACTGAGTTCAGTAATGGCTTTCTGAGCCACAGAGCTTGGACTGGCACAAATGGGCTCTTCTGAGACAATATCCCTGTTCTTCAGCAACCAGTTCCTCAGGTATTGGATCCTGCTGTCACAGTGGAAGGGGTTCCTAGATAGTGTGACCCTTTTCAGACCAACCAATCCGTCAAACAGGCCTGGAGGCACTGAGCTGAGCCGGTTGTTCTGCACATAGAGCTCTGTGGTGCCAGAGGGCAGACGAGGAAGCTCCATAAGGTTTAAAGAGCTGCAGTTGACTCGTAGACCATCACACAGGAGGTCTGAACATAGGCAGGGTTGGCAAGTATTGTGTGCACTTGATGTGTCCAGGAGAAGGAGGACAGCTAAGCTTAAACCGGAGAGCATCCTGCAGGATCAGGAACATGTTATTCTGTATTTGTACTGTTAGTTTCCAGTTTGCATAATAATAAGAACACAGAGGATGCTTTAGATGATTATCCATAGATCTGTGTTAGGGCTAAATTAACATTTAGCAAATAGTCTTTTTTAAGAATGTTCTTAATTGTTTATTGCAAAAATTAATACATCTATAGGTGAACAAAATTAAATATAGCGGTGCATCCTTAATCTTTCCTAAAGAAAAGTATTCAGATATATCCAAATGACAAAGTGAATGTAAAATCTCCTCCTTTTTTAAAATGAAAAAGGAATACAAACCTTTTAGAGTCAAACCAATATGGAAGTTACGTCTTGTGGTTCCAGTCATCCTTAAAATATCATTATATTTACTGTTCTGCTCCAATGTTGCATTTCAGCTTAAGAGTATCTCAGAAGTTCCCCTGAACTCAAGGTGTCCCCGTTTTGTAACTGATGTGTTATTAAACTCTGAATAATAACTGCACACCCAACATAGAGTAATGTCAGTGTGAGCAACGCACCAATAACACTGTACGGTTATGGCGCATTTGACGTGAAGGAAATCCATCTGCTTAAATGAGATAAGAGTTAATCTATAAAAAACAGGGGCTGAGGCTATCTGAAGCTCTCCCACACAGTGTTTATTACCAGTGCTGAGGGCACGGGGGCACTATACTACAAAATACAGGTTGGAGCATGCACAGCTTTATGTGAATTTGAATTTACCTTCAAGATATTTTGGAAGCCAAATACTGAGCTAATAATGAGCTCGAGGCCAAAGATTCTGGACATAAATCGTGGCTGAATCCAAGAAAATCTACAATCCAAGAAAGAATTTCACACTTCCACAGCTTCAGAGAAGTGGTTTAAAGCTGAGAGGTAAGAGTAAGAACAATCACTCACTGATCCTATGAGGATCTGTTCAGCAGGTACACTTTTCGCCCATAGGTGGAGTAATGGCACAGATTTTCCTTTCCCTTTGAAAGCACTCAAATGCATGCCCTCTAGTGGAAATGCTGCAACACTAGTGGAAAGTATTACTGGAGCCTGGAAGTGGAAGATATGAGAGTCTAAGGATAAGGCACTAATGTGAAATGCATTATACAAAAAAGGGGGAAATCCTTTGATTTACACTGACAGCTGACTCAGTGCTCAATAAGATAAAGCATTTTCTACTGAATGGTAACTTCATATACACCAGAGAGCAAGAACAACACATGCGTACCATAAGTCATATATTCGTTTATTTTGCGTTCTCAACATTGTCACAGTTGAAGTTTTACAATAACTGGGGTCTTACTGACTCACTACTCACTGTACAAACAGAATGCACATATAAATGAGGCCATTCTTGTCTTTTCCTTTTTTTAAAATGTGTCTCACGCCAGACTGAACAGCTTGCAGCAGGATGTGTGTATATTTGTATGTACAGTATGTTTGTGTGTGTGTGTGTGTGTGTGTGTGTGTGTGTGTGTGTGTGTGTGTGTGGTAGGTGTTGCATGTATGAAAAGAGAGCTGGATGTAAATGGCAGCGAACTTTCTAACAGTCTGTTTTTTATTTCTACAGCAAATGTCAGTTCACGACAGCTGGACGCAGAGACAATCGATATGTTCATATATCACCCCTCTAATCCATCTATGAGGTGATGTATATACATCCTGATCTTAACTGCAGGTATCAGAATAGAGTGCTGATCCTATACACATTATATACAGTTCCTATAACCCCCTGGCTTGGTCCCTTTGCAGCCTCATAAAGATAAACCCTCCTTCCAAGCAGTCCATCAGTTTGCACACCAAAATCCCATATTTACACGATGAAAGCCCTCAGCAACCGAAGTGCAATGTTCTTTATGTTTGTAATTTACACAATGGCTTTGTTGATGAAATGCATGCCGAGCTTCAATAACTACCAGCCAAACATGGAACAACAAGAACACGTCAACATCAGGAAATTCCAAATTAATCAAAACCAAAGGAGAAGTCAAAATCTATAGGCTGATTTTTTTTCCCATCAGCTCACAGTGAATAGGACACATGATGATCCATGCAGTGCATTGTTGGGGTACTTTCTCACAAAGAATGACTGTAGACATTTGAAGCACTACAACACACACCAAAATAAACAGATTCCTCGGTTTTACATCGTCCCAAGATTTCAGAATTATAGCAAAGATATGAAATCACTGGAAAGACACATTCAACTGATCATTAATGTCCCATAATGTGATATGTCTGTCATCTGAACTTTCCTTGTTAATTCCCATGAGGAAAAATGTGTGAGAATAAGCCTGACTTATGGCAATGGTTTTATTTGTGAATGTTAAAATACATTTTACAACCTGAATATCGGGACAAACAGTTTACTGTCACTAATTTACACACTAGAATAGACTCTTATTTGTAGAATGTAGAAAGTTATTCTTTACATATACCCAGTTCCTTTGTTCAGTTTGCATTTTGTATATTATAATTGCATTTCCTGAAAAAATGAAAGTGTTCTTCCATATGTGCTTATCCAGCAAAATATTTCTGTTCAGCCCCAAGAGAAGCATATTCCTTTTATTAAAATATATACACACATTCCTCTTTCCACTGTGAACTGTGTAAGTAAGTATTTATATATTCTTAAATGAAAAAAGATTTTTTTTTTTTTTCACCTGAATCTTGTCCTGGAAAACAAGATAACAAACTTTCACTCTTAGTACAAGTCTGCATTTTCTGAACATGATTGCACTTAAACTTGCTATGGTAACACTGATTTGTTATACAATGTGCAGAGGATAGCCTCACATTAATAACATTACATGCAAAAATCACTTACTAGACATTCCACTGAACTCCAAGTCTGTACCTCTCATTAGACCACGAGGACAGCCACACATTAATTTACTGAGAAAGACTCTGACAGGGGTCAAAAACAAAAAATAAATAAATAATGACGCAACATTAAAAAAAAAAAAAAAAACGCACAAATTGGTGGGACACCTTGTTCTTAATGTACAAAATCAGTACAAAGATATTGCACATATGATAGAAAAAAGATGAAAAAAATATTTTTACTATGCAAGAACTGATTTTATTCACTCACCAAACCTTGCTGGTGAATAACATAAACATACTAAACAAGGCAAAAGAAGATTTCAAAAGTGTTTCTATTTTTGACTTGAAGAGTCAAGAGAGCAGCTGTCGCATATGTTAAAGGCAACAGACTTAACATGTTCAACACGTCCATTCTGTGGGTCCATTTGTAACATAAACTGAGCCTTCAAGTGTATTTAATGTTTGTATGTTCTTTTCACTCTTAATCTTCATTATTATTATTATTTTTTTACAGTTCAAGCAGCCACAGTATGAGTAGTAAACTGAGATTAAAACAACCAACCAGCCCTGTTTATCGTTCGTGAGAGTTGACAAGAAAAGTCTGCTTTGAGGCTTCAGCTGTGACAGCACAGCGTTTTGAGGCCCATATGCGACAGCTGCCATCCAGAAGCTCCTTCTGATCCATTTGAAAGGCAAAAGTTCCAGAATAGATTATAGGCCGGACTGAATGGGAGTTCACTCCTTTTAGATCTACATCCTGTTACCACAGAGTCAGTATAATACTGATAGAATTCATTTTTGCTGATAATAATAATTGTAAGTATAATCTTACAAATTACTTTACGCACAATATACTGTACACGAAGTCTTGACTAAATAGATTATGCATTAATAATTGGCACATTTATTTATGAGAGCTAGGAGACAACACATACAGCTGTCATCTACAGTAAATACAGCACTAGAACTACAATGACTGAGACGGTCGACTCAGTTGTTTAACCTGTCCTTTGATTTAAGTTAGTGTGAAATGATTATATCTAGGTTCTCCACTACATATGAGCTCTACGGGAGGCAACAACAAATTGCATTCATATGATGGTAGGATCTGCAAACCAAAGAGTTGAAAGTTGACTTCCGAAAAAGGCTGAGCACAAGAAATGATGCCACCATTGTGACAGAGAAAACAGTCAGCCATGTTCTCGTCTCAAGTCGTCTTTCCTCCTGATTATGTGAAGGTAAGACAGGTTATTGAGGGAATGAAGCAGTGGAGAGCGGCTTGGTGAGAAAACACATTTTCTCTCCAGCCGTCACGGCCGGGCGGTGTGTGTGGAAAACATAGAGCATCTTCCTGTACAGAACCCCCACAAAACCCTGATGGGGCCAGGCCCATGATCAGGCAAACTAGTAAAAGGCCCCTGGTGGAAGATTTGAGTCCGATTTCCATCCTGCATATTAGTTGGACCTGGAGGTGAAAAAGGTGACTGCATGTGACTGGTTTCCATCACAGCAGCAGTAAAACACAGTGGACAGGCCATAGAGTTATGCTGTCAGTCCCTTTGGTGTAAGCAATTGTCCCTCCTTCAATAAGTTCCCTCCTCGCTTCTCCTCTCTGTGTTAGGAGCATCACACTACGGTGCTGATGCCACTGTGTTTGGGTTTGGGTCCGCCAGGTGCCGAACCCGCTTGCTGACTGTGGTGGTGAGGAGCATGCTGGGAGTGTGAGGCATGATGGGAATGCTGGCTGTAATGGCTGTGCTGTGAATGGGCGTGTTGGTGTGCATGTGAGGCGTAGGCTGGGTGCTGGTGGTACTGCGTGTGGGGCGGGGGGTGGTAGTGGTGGTGGTGGTGGTAAGGCGGAGGGTTCTGTGGGACTTGGCAGTACTGGGAATGGGGACCGTGGAGTTGGGCCTGCACTGTATGTGCTACCTGTGCTGTGTGGTGCAGGTTGGTCGGGTGGGGCTTGTGGGATATGAGAGTGGGGTGACCAGGTGCAGGGAAAGGAGAGTGGCTTTGAGATGAAGGTTTGCCTCGCTTGCTGCCAAAGAGCGACCCAAGGATGGAAGTCGATGCTGAGTTAGGGATGGAGGGATGGCCGCGTGGTGCGCCCTCACGTGGCGTGGTGGCTCTCCGGCGTGTGTGTGGGCTGCTAATGATGGACCCCTGCAGGCAGGAAAAAAGGTAACAGCAAGTCCGTCAGACTCTGTACAAGTGCTACTGCACAACAGCTACTAAACTGCAGCTACAAGGCACCAGCAGGATGAATTCACAGTTTTCTAATTTCAGGTAAACAAGTAGCAAAATGTTATAGGGCATGCAAATGAGAAACTAAAAATGTTTTCATGGTAGGCAGCAGCAACACTAGGAATACTTCAGCTTCAAGATGAAGGGAGCCTATATTCAGAGGAGCTCTGCTGTTAAGGTGCTAACTGGCTTGAAACAGAAAATCTGTAACAAGAGTAATTACATAAATTAATACCATTCAGAGCATAAATAATGACATTAACAGGGGTAGAAAAGACAACATTTCATCTTCATTGCAGTCAGTGTGCCAAACCCTCTAAGAGTCACACATGCAACTTGTTATATTTAATGGAGGCATAGTTTCCACATGCAGAGGATGTGACAGGCAAACTTGTCATCCACACATTAGCATTCAACTAGAAGTCAGAAGGCAGGAGGAACTAGCTCTTGTGTGCAGACTTCACAACAGGCCTGGACACTTTCCCCCCTTTTCTGGGTCCAACACTGCTCACTATCCAGGTATGAATTCTCCTGATAAAGCGTTTCCTTTGGCACATGCTTCATCTAAGACTGGAGAAAGACCGTATGACGTCTTTGAAAGCAGAATGAAATTTTCAGGGTCCCAGACTTCAACCCAACACATGAACTCATGGACACATGAAATGAGGGAAAGATGAATGAATGAAATCCACATCTTTATAAGTCCGTGTGAAGCCCTTCAGCAGACTTCTGACTATGAAGGCTACATTCCTCCCTGAACCTTACAGCATTTAAGAGAAGTTGTGGTTAAGGGAAAAAAGAAAGACCCGGACAGGGAGAGGGGCTGCAGGAGATGTACAGTTTCCTAGTGTCTCACAGAGCTACCACCCTGGCACAGAGAAGAAGAACCAAATGAAAACTGCTTGGATATGATTGAATGAAAGACAGAGACAGGCGACAAGGGGAGGGATCAGAGGAGGGATTAGTAGAGTCATGCTTGTTTGAAGATAAAGTGTATATTGGTCATATAACATGACCAAAACAGGAGATCTCTGGCTTCCACAAAGGGGCTAGGATCAGAGGCAGGCAACCCATGCATGCACACTAACTGAGGCAAGCAGGTTATAAGGCATCCCAGGAAGAAAAATAAATGATCCAAACAAATGGACTGAGTCTATGAAGCAAAGAAGGTGTAAGACCAAAAATAAATGGTGTGTTTTCACAGTGCACATCATCACATAGAGAGTAGCTTGGATACCAGCTGCTTCCAACTTACTTCCATATTGCTGTCTAGTGATCCTGCACTGCTGCGACGCCCCCGCTTGCCTGCCCGAGACATGCAATACCACAGATTAGAGATCGACAGCACTCCTGGATCGACTACAGACGTTTAGGCCGCCCACCAGTCCCGTAGGGGGCAGTGCAGTGGATTGTGACTGTGAGTAAGGTCCAAATATGGGCGGGAAGAGGAGAGCGCGTTCAGGTTTGGGTGGGTGGTGGGTGACAGGTGGTATTGTGGCTAACTGTATAGTGAAGTCACATCTTCACACTAAAGCTGCATTGAAATTTCAGTGATTTAAGTTTTTCAACGCACTTCGAACTGGAGGCTCAGTCAGGTGATACTTTAAAATTTTTGAATGTATTTCCAGAAATCTCAACAAATATGGACTCCATGAGCATCAAGTCTAATAGACCAAGGAAATGTCCACAGTTAACTTTTCCTAAAAGATTGCGGGCTAAAAACTTTAAACAGGGTTGATGCCGAAACAAATTTTCTCCCAGATTTTTGACTTGAAATATGACAACTCGCTCTTAATGTTGTCACAAGATGTAGATTTTCAATCGGGTCAAAGTTGGCGAAAAGCCAGTCTCAGTGACAGTCACAAAGGAGGAGACACATCAAAAGCAATACAGTGGTTGTTGCACATGGGATGTACAGGCATATACAGGTCTGAGGGCGAACAGAGCACTCTTGCCGTTGTTAGGCACACTCAGCCAATGATACATGACCAATAATCACACATATACAGGAAAATACCTGATGTGTATGGAAATAACACAGTAAATACACATGGAATGGGAGTATGGCAGGAAAGGAAAAAGAAAACACTTAACAAAAATGACCCCACTAACATGCCACATCCTGCATTGAAAAACACAGGAGACAGGAGGGCTGAGGGACGTCTACACGCTTCTTCACTGACTGACCTATCAATTCCCATTGAGGTAGTGATCATGAGAACAAAGCATATCATATTACCAACAGTGAGGCAGACCCCTGACTGGATTTCATTTTGTTATCAAGTTAATCACCTGATAACTTCACATAGCTGTTATCTGTAATGAATGAAATGTATTCTTGCTTCAGAGCGGCTGTGTTAAACACTGATATTCATGGATGTGAAATGACTGTTAACATCAAGACTGAGACTAAATCTTGATCTTGTTGCTGCTTAAAGAATGGTACACATCAGCACCGATTTGTTTGGTTCACAAATATACGTGAGAGGAAATGGCACATGATGTTTGAATAAAACACAAGATTATCATGAAATGTCTTTGGATAGAACAAACTTAGGAGTGCAAAAGTGCCAAGTTTTAAAAAAAAGAAGTGACGATTAAAACATGGATGGAAATGTTCTGAAATAAACTCATCCAAATGGTCAGGGTGAGAACTGCCTGTCAATTTCATTCATCACTGAGAAGACAAATCTAGTAAAACCGCATTTCTAAACATTTAACTTTCTTCTCAAATGAGTCTGTATTCAGTCTTTGAATTGTAAAAATGTGGAGCACACCTTAAGTCTCCCTTAAACAAAGTAAGTACAAGAGAAGTTAAACATTGAAGGACACACTGTCCAGACCAAACTATCCGATCACGAGGGAGTTAGATAGTAGATTTAAAAAAGGAGAGCTAAAATCAATGTATGGTGCCATGAAACAACATTTTGCTATTTTTATCCCCTTGGTATCATCTCAGAGCGCTGGATGACAGAAGGAGAGTGCTTTTCCATTAAAGAACCGGCTGGAAAAAGCAAAGACATTTTGGCTGTACCTGCTTCAGAGAGGTCTCGCAGGGAGCTGCTGAGGGCGCTCCTCTTCAGGCCCTCTCCCATGGCGTAGGTGTCATCTAGACTAGCGCGGTTCATGTTCCCGTTGCCAGCTTCCTTCTTCAGGCCGGAGCTCTGTGACATGCTGGGCCTCACCACCCCCTTCTGCTTCTCCAGCTCAGCTGTGGAAAGAACCCAGGGAAAGACTGAGGTAAGTGGCAGTGGTTTTACATCTCACTCTGGCCGGGGAATGACTTTATAACGTCTCTGTAATGTATTCAGCCACCTTTTGCAGTGTGAATGTCAACTATTGATCTACATCATTCAACATTCTGTTCATGTGTAATGACAGAATTGCCTTTTGAATGTCCAGAAAAAAACACAGCTCTCCTTTCTGTTAGCCATCCTGTGAACTCTGTAAAAATTCTCCCTCGTAAAGTGCCGCAGTTGAGTAATGAGGACCATGCCCTGTTTCTACTTTACACCGCCTGAGGTAGACATAGTGAGAGGGGGGGATGGGAGGGGGTGAAAAAAAAAAGGCAGCTCACACTCTATTCTGTATTTCTCCATTTCCTGGACTTCGGCAATGGACTCTCGTAGGTCATCTGTGAACTTCTTGCGGTCCTGGGGGTTGGGTGCGTTAAAGTTGATGAGGACTTTGATGTCCGCACCTGGTATCGCTGATGTAAGTCTGATTCCATTTGGGTAATCTGGGGCAACGGCAAAAAGAGAGGGAGAGACATTTACACAGGGACCATTGATCAAAACCAAGTTAAAACACATTGGGCAAATCTGTCTGAAGTTTGAAGTATAAACAATGTCACAGCCCATTGGTTTGACTCCCCATTTCTGCTGGATGTTTTACCGTGCTAAATCAAACCCTGTGATGTAAACACTGTTAGCTAAAACACATCACAGGGATAGAGACAGAATAAAAGCAAATGCCACTTACACTGATTTTCAAACAGCATGACTTGCATCCCATACAGAGAGAAAGACTGCCGGAAGCTGTATGTTACTGAGTTCTTCTTTTTCTGAAAAATCTTCGTTACCTGAAATCATGTAAAAAGAATAATTGAAGGGCTGGTCTAAAGAGAGAGGAGAGGATATGAGAGGATAGAAGAGGAGGGGGCTTTTACCACTAGGAGGTCGTTGAACAGGAAGATCTCCCGCTGATGCAGGCCCAGCTTCTGGAGTTTGTTGGGATCTGGAACTTCAAACAGGCGGCAGTAACACACCAGCCGGCGATGGGGCAGTGACAGCACCTACAAGGCAGGGGGAAAAAAGCACAGATACCAACACTTCAGAGGTCATTATGGCCTCAGTCCACAAGGTAATAAGAAACAGAGGTCACCTCTTCTTCTGAGCAGAATTTAAAGAAGGCGTAGGTAAAGGACTGATTTATTGTGTTTGTATGGGGAGATGTGGGGACATTTTGGATACTACTGCTTAGGGCTGCAACTATCGATTATTTGCATCCTTGATTGATCTGCTGATTATTTAATCGATTTGGTTGATAAAATATCAGAAAATAGTGAATAATGCCTGTTACAATTAGCACTTGTTATCACGCTCTTTATCCTGTATACTGTATATTTTAAAATGAGACCCAGGAAGAGTAGTTGTTGCCAAGGTAACAACTAATGAGGCTGCAAATAAACAATAATGTTCAGTCATTTTTATACATATTAAGTTTGTTTCACCAGTGAAAGTTAACTGTTAACATAGCATGAAGTGTAAATATTGTTGCTATGGCTACCTTTATTTGTATTCAGGTTACTTGATGCACTGATATAACCTGTTAAACTGTTTACCTGAACTTTGAGGAGTCCTAACATACAAAAACAAGTATTGACCATGGCAATGGTACTGTATAACTAGCATTAATGCATTACAAAATAATAACTGCTAGTGCTAGGTCTGTGACTTGAAGGTATCTGCATGGTAGATGCCATGCACCCAGCTGAGCACAGAATCTGTAAACACTGCAGCTCAATGCCGCCCAAAAATTTATCGTTTATCGTTTCTGCCTGGAGCAATGACTGCTCATCTCTCAGTAACAGATGTGGTGCTTCAGGGTGCAAAAGTTCCTGTCTCTTTAGGTAATATGAAAAACTACCTGTATGATGTGTATTATCTGCAATGTTCAGAGACAGGAAGCTGCGCACATAATGAAAGACAAATGATCAACTATAGTTTAATTTATGGATATTTAGCCTACTTACACATCCCAGGCCATGGTGGAGAGATCCGATCTAAAAAAGGGAGAACAAAGAAGATGTTGCAGCTGTTATGTTACTATTGCCTTTGATAATATGAAAATTCAATCTCTCGTGCTTACTAATGAGCACATATAAGATTTTGCCATTGCATTGCTATGCACCTACAGCCTTGAAGATACATGCGCCTTTTGTGTTCTGTATATAGGGTGGATGTCTTTCTCTGCTGCTGGACTTGAGGGAGTCGGTAGTGATGCTGGAATGAAAACAGATCCTCCTCTAGAAGCCCACTCTGAGCAGCACTAGTGGACATGATTATAACGGAGAGGAATTCCAATGTCGTTTTATACTAAAGTGTTTTACTGAGAGTCCTCCTGGGCTTTTAATTCTGCAGCTAAATAGTGATGAGGGATCATTTTTCAACATTAATACATACATTAAATTATTACTGGCAGAGCACCCTATCCATCCCACTGGAAACCAACTGAAACAAAGTCCTCTGTGCAAGACATGCCTCTCCCTGAGGCTGCATAGGTTAATCACATTTTTAACCTTCACACATGAAAAAGACATCATTGCCTGCAGAATAATGCAGAAAGGCTGCTCCCCCTGCTCCTGAGAGACTGGAGCACAGTCAGAAATAAATTAGATAATGGCTCTTATTCAGTATTCATAGACAGATATAAACTGTCTAATGATTAATGAATCAACAAATTATTGCAACGTAACGTATGTCGGTTAATTAAATACTGGTATCAACCACTTTTCCCTCTACAACTAAGTAAGAACTATATGTGCTAAGGTGGCAAAAAGTGCCCATTTTTCATCAGACTGCAGCACTGGGTGACATCTCTCAAGGGCTTCGGGTGTGTTAAAATCACCAGCGTGAAGGTCTAAGCCCAGGCATGTCTCCCCTATCACACAGTAATACCCAAATGTACAGAGAACTTAAATGTTCTAAATCTCCCTATTCCTTCTATGACTTAAACTCTGTAAGTTTTGGGGTCAGTAAATCAGGAGAAATGTGAAATTTTCATTTATTGAAAGTGATTCTAGGCAGATACAGCTCTGAGAGTGCTGATTGAAGAATAATCAACACTGTCTACATCTAATAGGCCAAAGATGCCTCAGAGACTGATTTCATGCCTTGAAAAATATAATATGATTTGGTGAACTTAGTAGAGTAGATAATAAACAGTACTCACTGGTTTCTTTCCCACAATGAGCTTCTCAACCTTCTGCACCTGTGAGACGTGATCTTCGTTCGTCTTGAGCTCTCGCTTACGGATCCTCTCATAGATGCCCACCAGAGTCTCCCTAGGAATATCCTCCCCATCATCCACACCTGGCACACAGGGGAGAGCCGATTTACTTTACAATGTACAGTCAAGGGGAAAGGATTAATAAAATAAATTTCTTTCTCTGCAAGAAAAAGTAATTCATCTGCAAGTGATAAAATATGTCCTAGGGTATATTATGTATGTAGCACATTTTAAAATATCAGTAAATATATGTTGTTTACAAGCAGTGTATCCTTTCATATCAGTCATTGTTTTGCTACCTCTTAAATTCTTGATAAAGTCCTCCAGCTTCATTTTCCTTTCGGGCTTGACATTGGGGCTGTACATGTCAGTGTTGAGGAGGATGATGGCGAACGCCAGGATGAAGATGGTGTCAGGGTTTCTAAACTGCCGCACCACGGTGGGGTTACAGATGCAGTAGCGCTGGCTAGAGAAATGTGACAGGAGAACAAAATCACCCATCTCAACTTACAGCCAAACTCTGACTACATAACACACACAAAAGAATTGCACTCATGGTGAGGAAATGTTTTCAACATAGAAGAAAACAGAAGTCATGTTGAACTGGTTCTCCTTATGTACCAATGATTATCTAGACAACACAGCTGTGAGGAAACCCAGCACCAATGACTTTTCAAAAATCAATAAAAGTTAACATAAAATGCTTCCAGTGTTATGAGCACAAAGCATTATTGTTTATTGCATATGCTGTTAGCCCCTTTTTTGGAAATGTGTATTCAGGAACTGTGTGGTTCAATGATCAGTTTATACATTTTTCTCACAGGTTCCGGGTCAGCAACCAACAGACAAGAGACATTGTATGTAATGAATGTGCAAGTATGAACACAGCATCAGTGTTTTCTCTTCTGTCTTTCCTAAAACACAATCATTCATTGCGATAAACAGTGGATCAGGATTGCTTTTTTCCCCTCTGTTTTCTCTGTGCAATTATTCGTCTGTATCAATATGTGTAAATGCTATGTGTCAGTGTGTGATCTAACCTGAAGGCTTCGATGAGCCGCTCCACCTTCTGGGCCTCACCCTGAACACGGATGTGGTTCTGAAATTTCCTGAGAGCTTCGTCCAGCTCCATGCCTTGGAAGTCCATCTCATCTACCACACAGCTGGTACATAAGAGGACAGATGGAGACAGAATGAAATACAAACATGGGATACAACAGTTTTTTTGCCCACCACCAACTCTTTTATATCTTAAAGCGCTTAGTTGGCCTAGATTCTATCATGGAGGATATTTCAATATTTATGAAAGATGTTACTAGGGATTCTCGTTATATTTATGTCATGAGTCATTCTTAACACCTGGAGGCTCTTAATGAGTTGGGTTTGAGTGAGTTTTTGTGCCATGCTTGTCACTCTTTCTCATTTTGCTTTATTAATTATCTTTAGCAATGGACCCAATATTTTGGTACATACTGGCTTTCTTTGTTGTTCATATCTTAAGTTAACGTTTATTTTGGAATCTGCACATGGACAAATCCTGGACTTCAGTATATTTACATTTAATTTTACCCTTTTTGATCTTTCCTTCACACTTTTATCCAATTATATATAGGTTTGGTTGGAGGGGGTGGAATCATACTTACTCCAAGACATCTCTGTTGAACTGTTTCTGCCGGTTGCCCAGAAACTCTCCAATCATCTGCCTGCTGAGCCCCTTCCTCTGCAGCAGGAAGTGAGCCACACCAACTGGTGTGTCAGGGATGAATCCTCTCTCAGTCAGGTACTGGATGCCCTTCTCTGGCTTCCTGATAAATCCAAATTTTAGAAGCAGGTAAATTTAAAAACTGGTAAGACTGCTACTACCTAAACTTGAATTCTGAGATAATACACATCACCAACTTCCTGAGTAAAGTTAGATCAGTGTTGTTTTTTCATAAAGATCTATTAACTGTTGATACACTCAGGATACCTTTGAATTTGATATTAATGCAGCTGATTGCAGTTTATAGTACAACACACAGTGCGTGAATGGCTTCTCTAACATCATGTCCATTTGCTGGGCCCTTAATCATTGCAAACACTGGTCAAGCACCTGCTCCATCAGAGCTGAGTACCTACTTGTTGAAGAGATTCAGGCCGATGCGGTAGTATCTCTTGCGAATAACATCATTACTGAAGATGGGCGAGTCCCAGCTGTTGCGAGTCTCTTTGTGATAAGTCTGCTTGCTGAGTGTTTGCTCTCGTAGGCTGTCTCTTGAAGAGGACTCGGAGCTGCAGTTGATAGTGTCATTGGAGTTGGATGTGCTATTGATGCTGTCGTTGTCCCCATCAGAGAAGTCAGATTCTGACTTACTCTGTCTGTTGGCTGAGCCGTTGATAGCTAAGTGGCTTTCCAGCTGGCGGTGGCGGTGGCGCAGAGGTGCGTCATCGTCACGGGAGGAAGCTCGTGGTGGGGGTCCATGGGAAATGTGTTTAGGGCTTGCCTGGGATGATGTTACAATGTGGCCATGTGGTTCATACACAGGCGGCCGTTTGACAGAGCCACGGTCAGACCGGTCACTGAGCTCTACAGAGCTGTCACTAGGAGGTTCTATGGTCAATAAAGGAAGATGGTCCATTCTAAGTCGCTGCTCTTGGCACTCTAGAGAAGGAGTGCTGCGGCAGCTTGTGTCTGTGTCACGACCCTCATCTTTGGGGTCAACAGGCCAGTACTCCTGAGAGGAGTTGACTGACCGCAACCGCAAGTCTGATTCTGTGCTACAGGGCTGTTCCCCTGACCTCGACAGAGCCATAGAGGGGGACATGTCCTCCTCATCGATGAACAGAGTAACATCACTATAGGATGCCATCGTTTCATCGTGCATTCGTCCAGCTGCCCTGCGGTGGGACTTCACCTGATAGGGCACTTCCCTCTCCACCTTAGAGCAGCCCATGGCTTCTGGGTCAGGACCCTCATCCCCCTGAAGGCTGCGACAGTTCAGTGCATCATCTATTGACTCAGCCAGAGATTTAACCTGCCTGGAAAAGGCATCCTCCAGCTCCGTGATGGCATCTGTCAGGTCACCCTGTGGGGCTGGGTGAGATGCCATGTTGGCCTGTTGGTGGACCTCTATGTCTCCACATTCAGACTGCACCATGGACAGTGGGGTGCCATCCTCCGTCATGGACACCTGCCTCCCTTCAAAGTAGGAGCTGTGCACTTTCTCGGGGCCCTCAAACGAGAGCTGCATCCTCATGTTGGTGCGAACAATGCGTCTGGACATACGGTTCTCAGACATAGAGCTCCTGAGACGTTCAAAGTTCTTGTTCATCTGATACTGGCGGAAGGCTGTCTGGATGGTGCGGGCCGCATGCCGAGTTATGAATCGTCCACCATATTTACGCTCCAGCATCTCCACCTATAGAGAATAGGGAGTAAATTAACTGTGAAACGAATGGAATTTTTAATTGGTTTTCTCAGCTGTAGATGATTTACAAAGTCATCATCCTGGATGCCACTGATAATTTGCTTTTTCCAGCTGTCAGTGGCTCTGTGACAATCTAATAACAGCTTTTCCTGGTTTATTTGTACCAGTAATAATCTCACACAGCTGGGTTTCGGAGTAACCCACACACAATTCACAATTTCTCAAGAAAAATTGCATGTGACATTTCTTATGATACAAGACCATAAGAAACTTAGACCAACTCCAAAGCAAACTATTCCAAGCTACTTTGAAATACCTGTTTGTCCTGGAGGTCAGCAGAGAGTTCATAGCTCTCAGAGAGCGAGCGGGACCGCTTGATGGCCTCCTCCTCAGCCTGCTTACGGAGAATGGACTGCGAGTGCTGGAGCTTGGGCCGACGGGGTCTCTGAGGCCCAGGCTGGACCCCGTGGCTGTAAAGCGGGCTATCAAATCGGTCAGGGCTGATGGCAGAGCCGTGAGTCACCGGGCCCTGGCCAAAACTGGCTCCACCATCCAGGGAAGGGCCACTCTCATTGGGCCGTCCATCCCCTTCCACACTGCAATACGAAAAAAAAAGGGATGGTTAGAGATTTTATCTTCTCGCTACAAAGATTAGTCAATGAAAATCTAATTTGTGAGTCAGAATGTGATTGAAGTATTATCAGGTTAATTGTAGCTGTCTTACTGATCCATCTTATGAAATGTCAGGGCAAAAAGTAGCTTAACTTCAGGGATTTATGGCCTAAGCTTTTCTAAAAGAAAGTCTTAATCAATAGTCTAGTCTCGGTAATGTAATATACAAACAAGTATGGCATTATAGAAGTGAACTGCAGAGTGTGTGTGTGTGTGTGTGTGTGTGTGTGTGTGTGTGTGTGTGTGTGTGTGTGTGTGTGTGTGTGTGTGTGTGTGTGTGTGTGTAAAATGTAGGCATTTCTGGGACCTGCTGATTCTACAACTTAGTGATACACAATATAACCCACATTTCATTTATCTGTAAGCTGCCTAATACTTACACATACATCTGTAATAACTACTGAAAATATACAGCCTGCCATCAATTTTGCTGTGCTACATTCAAAAAGTACAAATGCCACATAAACACTCTCCAAATATGAAAACACATTGAGTCATCCGTTGTCCTTGTGGAATTACCTCTTAGACAAACAGTGTGAAAAAAAACAAGAGGTTACTCACTCACTCTTACATTCTGCCGTATTACAAGGCGACTGCTTATTGCGAAAAGACCGTCTATTTTCTATAAAATGCCAACTCTTCCTCCATATCTTGTCCACCATTCTTTCAGCCAAGTGAAGTCCAGAGTACAAAGGATCCTCCAGGAAACTAAAGTTTATGCCACCTTAAGGACCAATCAGTGACCAATGGGAGTTACATCATGTTTGCCAGAGCGACGACACACTGTTCCAATACATGTTACAAAGTCCAGTTTAGAGTAGAATGACAGAGTAAATACAACCTCAGCGGTCCTTTAGGTCCTTAGAAATAGCCGATATGTGGGTGTATTAGGTGCCCACCTGCTCATTAACTATCATTACACTAACTAACATCTCTTCTCCTCCACGGTACAGTAAGTTCACTGTTCACTGGCAGCTTAACGTGTTTGAACTGTGACTTGACACACCCATGTTGTGTACACAATCCACTTCCTTCTCAAGACAGCGAGCAACAACCAATGCTGAGTGAAAAAGTGGAACTGAAAATGGTCAAAAGTTTAAACCACAGATGTATTTGTTCACCCTTTTTGTGTGTAAGAAAGGTTTTACTCTAAACTGAATACACTGAATCAAGATTTACTGCTTGGCAAGACCACTCAGCACAGCACACTGATTTACAAGAGATGGTCATTCATGGTTCAATATAGCCTATCATTACTTTATGTCTAGTAGAAATTTCAGGCTCAGGCATATTGCCTGCCTCCGTCTGCTTAAATGCATACTTGTCATTTTGTAAATTTGAATCAAATTCACAACCTACAACTTTTCTGTCTGCTGATTCTTGTCAGACAGAGAAAGGGAAATGTAATATGAAGTAAATATAAATTCAAAGCTTGCTGTAAGTGATTTCAACTAATACAACTGAGCAACTTTGCATATCTGCAAGGGTTTCAAACACTTAAATCCTGTAAAAAAAAAAAAAGAAAGAAAGAAAAAGGCACTTCTGCTTTTCAACCAAATACAAGTGTAGACTATTAAAACATGTTGGCCTGCTGTGGCTGCCAAACTACCACCAATTATTGTTAGGCAGCATCCACAAAATATTTAGTCTGATTCCAATAGCTAAGATGGTGTTTGGATGCAACTGGAAATATTATTATGTCTTGAAGTAACACAGGTGTTCCCTTCCACCAAATGCTGAATTCTTGAGTGAATTCTTGTGCATCACATTAAGTGGCCTCCTTCCCTTCTGTCAGAGTGCAGATGACCCATTCAGGGTCAGCCAAGGCCACCGTGACACAGGAAAACTTCATGGTGAACAAATGCTAACTGACTCCCTTGTGGCAATATAGGTACAAACAAAGTGTGGAAGAGCACACAACAACAGGGCCAAAAGAAAAGGCCTTTATACTGCTGGAACAACATAAACCCTTGCACAACACAGTGAAAATCATACTTCATTGCATAAACGCCACTGGGACAAATCTCCCCAACTAGGGATGGGGCCGATCCGATACCGTATCGGTATCGGGACCGATACCAGCGTAATTCACATATCGGAATTTCCCGATCCAGCCTGCGCAGATTTCCGATATCCATGAGCCATGTGTGCGCTTTAACCTTGTCTGCTGAAATGACTCCACAGGTGATTCCTGCCGGCCAGTCTGCTAGCTGGCTGCAAACTGTGGAATGGATTTCCTAAACGGAGGCGCAGCTCAATGAGACAGAGTTATGAGACACGCCTCCGCTCAGGAAATACATTCCACAGTTTGCAGCCAGCTAGCTGGATAGCATTGAGCAGCATTGTGGCTAGCCAACATGTCCGCTGTGTGGAAATACTTTACACTGGAAACACCAACAAGACAGCAAAATGCAATGTTTGCAAAGCCATAATTCAGAGACGCGGAAGCTCCCTCACGTCGTACAATACTACGAACGCAATCAAACATTTAAAAGAGCACCACACGAAACAGCACAAGGATTTTTTAGGCGAGCTGTCAGGAATCACTTCTGGAGTCATTCCTAAAACAAGTTAAACTCCAGGCAGACAACGTGAAAGCTAAAGGGATTGCCGAGTGTGTGTGTGTGTGTGCGAGCGAGCGTGTGTTAGATGTTTACAGTTATTGCACTTTTCTTATATTTCAGATAATTGACATTTTAAAACCTTGATTTATTGATACTACAAGAGCCAGTGTACTTGATTTGTGCTGCTCAGATGCACACTGTTTTATTGATAGTGTGTGTGTGTAAGATGTTTACACTTATTGCACGTTTCTTATATTTCAAGACTCAATTATTTGACATTTTGGGAATTTAATAAATATTGACATGAAAATAAATCTGAAACCCTTACAGTTGCATATTTGTTTTCAGAATGGGATTTTTCCTGTTAACAGGATTTCCTGTTTTTCTGACTTCCTTTTCTGACCTTATACTTACCTCAAGTTGCCTTTTGGGACATACATGCATACATACGTACATATCATACTTGCCTGTTGAGGAGTAATAATGATAATAATAATATTAAAGAAAACAGAGCTCTGGTATCGGAATAGTATCGGTATCGGCCGATATCCAAATTCAGGTATCGGGATCGGATCGGAAGTGAAAAAATGTGGATCGGTGCATCCCTATCCCCAACCATCTGTCGTGGCAAACTGTGACGCTGTCATCCCTGGAGTTAAAAGTCACACCTTGCGTGCTGTCACAGCACCAGAATACAGCCGGTGGTAATATTTGGTTTCATGATTTCTATATTAAATATATGATGATAATGGCATTTTGCCTTTGTTTAGGCATAATAAGCAAATGTTGGTATGCTTACATACTAAACTAAGATGGTGAACAAGGTAAACATTAGAACTACTTAACATCAGCATGTTAGCATTGTCATTGAGACTAGGTAAGCATGCTAATGTTTGCATTTAGTTAAGATCACTAATGTGTACAGCCTCAGGAAGCTGCTAGCATGGCTGTAGAAGCTTAGTTCCATTATGTTATGTTGTTTTGTTGTATTGTTTTCTACCATGCTATTTTGTTGGCAGTAATTGCCTTTCTATTGTTCTGCCTAATTGTGTAATTATTTACAAACCAATTCCAATTTCAATTTATGTTATATGACAATGTAACTGTGGGAATGAGAGTTGAGTCAACATTAAATAACTGAAAACTCAATAACAACAAGCTACAAGCTGCTTTTAATAGCTACTACAGTGGTCCTCTGGGGTGTGCTCTCTCACCCTGTCACTTCCAAACACAGTCAAGGACACAAAGTCAAAATTACAGCTACAGCACTGGCTTTGCCTTTCCCCAACGGGACCTTGAGCCACCATCTTTCCTTCCATTTTGTTCTTTCTGCTTCACTTTCTACCGACCAAGCATCCAGACTGTGTGTGATTGCGGGTGTACAAAAAAAGGGAACAGGAGTAAGTGCTGCAGTACTTCTTGCTCTGAGGTCATTGAATACTCCACTGAGTGAGGTCAGTTGCTCATGATGGCGGGAAAAGGGGGAAAGGATGAGAGAGCAGCATTTTAAGAGCTTATGTTTTAAGCTATAATGGATGTTGAAGAAAAAAAAAAACTACAACAGAGCAGGAAGTTGCATGACGTTATTCCAGAGAAGAAGCAGAAGCATGATTCAGACAGAATTCAAGTCTTGGTAACATTTATATCAACATGTTGTATGTGTAATGTAGGAGCATTGTAGAACCAATGTTGAAAGGTGAAGGATGAAGCAATGATGGTTGTCCCAGGACCACTCCCCGACAGTGACCGTACACTCCCTGAAATATGATCTCACTACATTAGCAATGACTTCTCAACGGCGTCTGTCGCTCAGTCTGGCTCTTTATCCACCAGGAGCCCCCGTTAGTTCTGATGTAGGCATGGATAAGCATGTCAGCTCAGCTGGCAGTGATTTTCAGCCATGGGATCCAGGGATTTGGGGGGTGGGTTGGGGGGGTCGACCATCTCCCTTTCTTTCCTTCTTCCCTCTCAACACATCCTGAACAAACAGGCCCAGACCCCTACCCAGGCCTCAACCCATTCCATCAGTCGGACCTGAGGGAGAAACATTCCTCCATCCCGGAAAAGAGGAGTCACATCTACAGGAGTTCTGGGAATAGAAGAAGGCTAATGAAGTGCAGGCTGGAGCTAAGGAGGAAGAGCAGGCGGCAGTGTGGAACTAACATGACTGCCAAACAAAGTCACAGAGACGATAGAGAAGTCTACAAAGTGCTATGTGCTTGCATGTTTTTCAAATCAACTTCTAATTTTTGTTTTAAGATTAGTTTTTTTTTAGCTCTTCCCATTCAGGTGTGTACATAAAAGCCCCTGAAATGAGCATTACGCTAAATATTTATAGAAAAATCTTTCCACATGCAATG